GTGGGGGAGAGGGTGTCATTTTATTACAATGGGTGAATGAGCCACCTGCAATGCCAGCATCTCATATCAGAAACTGCCTGCTCCACTTTTCATCCAATTCCCAGATAATGCAATTGGCAAAACCCAGCAGAAGGTCTAAGTTTGTGGGCCCCTGCCTCTATGTGGGAAACCTGGATGGAGTTCCAGGCTCCTCGTTTCAGCCTGGTTTTGCCCCAGTTGTTGCAACCATCTGGGGAGTGACCCAGCAGATGGAAGATATTTCTCTCTCTTTTTTACTTTTTTAAAGACTTATTTATTTATTTGAAAGGCAGAATTACAGAGAGAGAAAGAGAGAGAGAGGCCAACACAGGAGCATGGGTTCAGAGACCCAAACACTCAGGCTATTTTCTGCTGCTTTCCCAGGTGCGTTATTAGGGAGCCGGATCACAAGTGGGGCAGCCAGGACCCGAACCAGCTCTCTCATGGGATACCAGCTTGCAAAGGGTGGCTTAACCCACTGTGTCACAGCGCCAGCCCAACTTCCATAAATTTAAGGATCCTAAAAGGTATTTCAAATATGAAGCAAAAATAGGATGGTATGGAGGTTTTTGTTTATGAAATCATAAAATAAGAGGTTTTAGGAAATTAAACAATTATAGCAACTGCCCTCCCCAACAAAGGTATATGGCTTAAAAATAGCTTTTCCAGAAAGTAAATTCAAAAGAAATACATAGCAATGAGTGGAAATTGTAAGCAAATTAATACAATTAATTTCCAAAATCCAACGCCAGATTATTCAGACCTTCAGAAAGAAAAGTGTGTGTGTAGGGAGGAGGCAGTGCTGTGGTGTAGTGGGTAAAGCCTCCGAGGAAAGTGCTGGCATCCCATATAGTTGTTGCTTGAAGTCCCAGCTGCTCCACTTCCTATCCAGCTCCCTGCTAATGTGCCTTGGAGACGGTGGAAGATGGCCCAAGTGCTGGGGCCCCTGCCACCCATGAAGGAGACCAGGATGGGGTTCCTGGCTCCTGGCTTCAGCCTAGCCCAGCTCCAGCCATTGTGGCCATTTGGGGAGTGAATCAGTGGATGGAAGATACCTCTCTTTCTGTAATTCTGAATTTCAAATAAATAAATTTTTTTTGTTTACCCATTATGATTTATTCTCTACAATACTTCGTTAAAGAGTTCAATGATTTGCACTCAGAAGTTAAATAGCCAAGAGGCAACCAAATTTTTAAAAAATAAAATGGAAAAGAAAGTCTTAATACTTAAAATCCAACAAAAACCTAAAAATAACAGTATGTAAGGATTGATCCATTAGATAGGTTTTTTAAAATGTTTATTTTCATCAACTTGAAGTGGAAGGGAAGAAAAGGTGGGAGGGAAGGGGGGGGGGAGAGAATCTTCCATCTGCTGGTTTACTCTCCAAATGCCCACAGTAGCCAACAGTAACATCTGCCACTTGCAATGCCAGCATCCCATATGGGTACCATTTCCAGCTGTTTCATTTCTGATCCAGCTTCCTGGCCAGCTCAAAGCTAGGAGTCTGGTGCGGACTCATCCTGTGAGGTTCACACTGCCAGGATGGTAGCACCGGGGACAAGTTTCGATGAACATGTTCGTTTATTAATGATCAAGCACAAGCTGTTAAAGGGCAGGCAGAGGGGACATAGCTAATTCAGGCAACACTAATTCTATAGATAAAGCCGGTATTGTTGCCGCTGTGCTTCTCCAATCAGCTTGAAGGTCGTGTAGGCTTCCTGATGGGCAGTTCACCTGACTGGCAATTACAAGGCGCTTCAACAGGAGGCAGGGGTGCGGGAGATGTGCCTGGGGCTCCTGCCACCTGTCAGCAGTCAGGTTAACATGCATGGGCTAGGCAAGCAGTCTCCTAGCCAGGCGCAGGGTCACTCTCAGCCCGGAATTCCATCCCACATGGGTAGCAGAGCCCAAATCACTTGAGCCATTATCTGTGCCTCCAGGATGCCTTAGCGGGACGCTGCATCAGAAGCAGAGTAGCTGGGACTCTGATACGGGATGTAGGCATTCCAAGCAACAGCTCATCGCGCTGCAACTCCACGTCCACCCTGTGGGGGATTTCTTAAAATGGAACTGAGAGTGATGTGGGATGCAGGCATCCTAATGGAGGTCAGTCTATGTCAACATTTGCCCCCCCCCCCCCCTTTTAAGATTTATTTATTTGCAAGACAGAGTTACAGAGAGAGGAAAGGCAGAGAGATGGAGAGGTCATCCATCCTATGGATCACTCCCCAGTTGGCCTCAACAGCTGAAGCCAGGAGCCAGGATCCTCTTCTGGGTCTCCCACGCGGGTGCAGGGGCCCAAGGATTGGACCATCTTCTACTGCTTTCCTAGGCCATAGCAGAGAGCTGGATTGGAAGTGGAGCAGCCAGGTCTCGAACTGGCACCCATATGGGATGCCCGCGCTTCATGCCAGGGCGTTAACCCGCTGTGCCACAGCACCGGCCCCAACCCCCGTTCTTTTTACTGAATTTTACTGAATTTCAGATAAATTCGCCAAAAATGGAATAGAAGTTTCCAAGAATTAGATCTTAGCACAAAGATGAGATGAATAAATGGATGAGGGTTACGGGTAGTCCTGGATGCCAGTATGGTGCACGTCTGCCTGTAACAGCTACCAAAGCCAAACCAGTCAACAGCCAGTGAAAACACGGGGGCAGGCTGGTTTAGCGAGGCCGCCAGTCCACTCCGGAGCAGGGCGCCCGGCTTCTCAGGAAGCTCCGGCTCCGGCCGGCCCGGTGCAGTCCCGGGAGGCGGGGGTCTCTGCAGGGCGAACCGGCGGAGAGCGGCGCGCAGGCTCTCGTCCGCTCTGCGCTTCTCAAGTCCGTCAATGTTTGATACAAGATTTTTAAAAGTCGAACGCACGTTAGGTACGAGGCAAAGTTCTGCAGGTTTCTGCAGCCGTTTCAAGAGGAACTGTTTCGTAGAGAAACGTGTTCCTGAAGGTTGTGACACCTGCAGTGGACAGGCGGGACAGCACAGCCTCCCAGCAGGCGCGGACGGGCAGGGGTCACGCGGCTGCGGCCAGGGCCGCGGGCTCTGACGCCGCGCGGCCTCGCCCCGGGGGCCCCGCGCGCCCCGACGGGACCCGTGTCCCGGACCGGCCGCCCGCCCTCCAGAAGCCCGCGTCTCCCGCGGAGCCCCCGTCAGGCGCCCGGGCCCGGACTACACTTCCCAGGAGGCCCCGCGCGCCGCGACCGCGGCCCTCAGCTCGCGGCCGCGGGGTTGGACGCCGGCGGGCAGCGGTCGCTGCCCAAGGGCCGCGGCTCTTGCGTGGGCGGCGTGGGCGCCCCCGTGCCGGCACCGCGAAGACTTGCGTGCGTGCGTGACTGGCTGAGGGCGGGGCGCGCGCGCGTGTGCTAGCGGCGGGGCCGCGGCGCGTGCGTGACGTCAGGCGCGGCGCCGGCGGCGGGCGTGGGCGGCGGGCGTGGGCGGGCCCGCGGAGGCGCGGCGTCGCTGTGGGCCGAGGCTGGTTCCCCGCGGGCTTTTCGGTCCCTGCCGCCTTTGTGCCGGGAGCGATTTTCCTGTCGGACCTTCTGGTGGCTTACCGCAGGTATAGACGGTAGCGGCGGGTTGTGTGCGCGCCTCCTGTCGGACTCGTGGCTGTCCTGACAGAGACGCGGCCGGGCGTGCGCGCCGTCTTCGTGGGTAGCAGTGCGCGTCCGCGAGTGGCTTCGTATCTGCCCTGCAGGAGCAGCTGCCACTAGGCAGGGGTCCGAGCCGCCCGGTGGGGTTGGGGCCGGGCAGGGGTCCGAGCCGCCCGGTGGGGTTGGGGCCGGGCAGGAGTCTGAGCCGCCCGGTGGGGTTGGGGCCGGGCAGGGGTCAGAGCTGCCCAGTAGGTTGCGACCGAGCAGGGGTCCGAGCCCCATCATGGGGTTGGAGCCGGGCAGGGGTCCGAGCCGCCCGGTGGGTTTGGGGCCGGGCAGGAATCCGAGCCCCCTCATGGGTTTGGGGCCCGGCAGGGGTCTGGGCCGCCCGGTATGCTGGGACCGGGCAGGGGTCAGAGCTGCCCAGTAGGTTGGGTCCGAGCAGGGATCCGAGCCCCCTCATGGGGTTGGGGCCGGGCAGGGGTCCGAGCCCTCTGGTGGAGTCAGGGCCGGTTAGGGGTCAGAGCCGCCCAGTGAGGTTCGGACCGGGCAGGGGTCCAAGCCGCCCGGTGGCTTTAGAACCGGGCAGGGGTCTGAGTCCCTGGTGGGGTTAGGAGGTGTTGGGAGTGGGGACGTGCAGGTGGAACCCGCGGCGCGTGCTGTCGGCGCTGGAGGCATTGGCAAGGTTTGCGTCCAGCTTCCCGGCGGCCGTGGGAGCGGCCGTGCCCCTAGTTTCGGACTCTAGTACGGAGAGTCCTGGGTTCGTGGGAGTCCACAGCACTCGCGGGCTTCCAAAACGTAGCTTTTGCGTTCTATTCACTGTTGTGTGACACATTCGTGGATGAAGTGGGTCTGCTTCTAACAAGTTTGCGGCAGAATGGACAGGAGAGGTTTTTTTTAACGTTATTTATTTGAAAGCCAGTTATAGAGAGAGGATGAGAGCGAGAGAGTGAGCGAGCTAGCTTCCATTCGCCGATTTACTCCCAGACGGCCTCAAAGCCCGGAGCTGGGCCAGGTGAATCCAGAAACCTGGAACTGCACCTGGTTTCCCCCGGGGGTACAGGGGCCCAGGGACTGGACCAGTGTCCACTGCTTTCCCAGGCACATTAGCAGGGACATGGGTGGGAAGTGGAGCAGCTGAACCGGCGCCAAATGCCAGCCCCAGCCTAGATTCCAGTTTCTTATCCTAATCTGAGAACATTCGTTAAGAAACTGCTTTTCTTACCGAAGTTGTCTTTACAGGTTTTTTTCCCTCAAAACTACCCATGTCATTAATATTTTTAGTTAATATGAGGAAGATTTGTGTGTGGTCTTTTTAAAAAAGTCCGTGTCTTTAACTCTTAGTGTCCTCATTTTTTTTTTTTTATAAATCTAATAATTAACTGAAAGTATTTGTGTATGTATGTGTTCTTGTATTTTCAAGGAAATCTCATAAGTTTAACTTTTTAATTTTTATTTTCCATTGTTACTGTGTTTCTTTAATTAATCTAGTATGAGTGTCAAAGATAAGGTTAACATCCAAGTTGAATATGTAGTTCCCACTTAGAGTGTATGAAGAAGATGGGCACCGGTTCGTGTCCCTGCTGCTCCTCTTCCGATTTAGCACTCTGCTTATGGCCTGGGAAAGCAGAACTCAAGACATACATGATGAGAGATGGAATGAAGAACAAACGAGTAATTTTCAAAACGAGGCAACCATGTGTGTAAGTCGCGATCTAGGAGGTTTTGCAGAGGTAGACACGATTTTAATGGAAACTGAAGAGGAGCAGCTGGGACTTGAACCAGCACCCATATAGGATGCCAGCTCCACAGGTGGTGGCCTTCCCAGCTACACTGCAGTGGCAACCCGCTCCCTATCCCTTTCAAAACCACCTCAACAGTACACTAACTTTTCTTTGTGTTATAACTAACATGCTCCTCTTCTGTTTTGTTTTGTTTGTTTTTTAACAGGCAGAGTTAGAGAGAGAGAGAGACAGAGAGAAAGGTCTTCATTCCATTAGTTCACCCTCCAAATGGCCGCCAGTGCCAGCGCACCACGCCAATCCGAAGCCAGGAGCCAGGTGCTTCCCCTGGTCTCCCATGGGGTACAGGGCCCAAGGACTTGGGCCATCCTCCACTGCCTTCCCGGGCCACAGCAGGGAGCTGGACCGGAAGAGGGCAACCAGGACAGAATCTGGCGCCCCAACCGGGACTAGAACCCGTGGGGCCGGCGCCACAGGTGGAGGATTAGCCTAGTGAGCCACAGCGCCGGCCTAGAACATTCTTTTGCTTTCAGCGGCAGTACTCTGCAAGGTCTGGACTGAGCATGGTAAAAGACTTCCTTTGTCTGCACTAAATGTTTCTCTCTCACTTACACTAGCATCTGAGAACATAATTTTTGCCTTTTCCCACAGAACACCTCTTTGCTGCCTCATCTCATCTAACATTTTATCATGAGTTTTTGAGCATAAAGGTAAATTTTAAAACTATACACTGAATATTTAACAAACCACCATCTGGACTGTACTGTTAACATTTCACGATACTTAGTTGTAATCTAGCTATCTGCCCATCTTTGCCCATCAGTCTGTTGTGTCTGCTCTGATGCATGTCAGAGTAAATGGTGGGTGTCTAGACGTTTTCCCTAAAGCCTTCCAGATGCATAATATTAGTATCTGGAATTTGATAGCAGGTTTTTCTTTTATGTAAAACTAATGTAACATGAAATGCATGATTCTTAACTTTGCATTTTCTGAGTTTTGAGAAGTGCACCATATCTTGAAAATTGCCATCTCTGCTGGCCCAGAATTTTAACTTTGTGGCTCTGGATCCTTTTTACTGATCATTCCTTGCCCTTTACACATGCCAAATACTGTTAAACTTAGAATTTGAAGAGATCCCATTTTTTATTTAAAAACATATGTTCCGTGTGTCTGAGAGAACACTTTCCCTGATGAGGTTCTGTTCAGATCTAAATGCTGACCCTCGGGTACCAAGTCTGAAACAGATTCCTTAGAAAGCAGAGAAGTTAACGTTGTAGGTGTGAAGTATTGACAAATGCTGGAATGAATGAGTGTGAAGTACAAAGTACTGATTAGCTACTTTCTAGGATTTAGAGATCAGTCCTAATTCTCTAGTGGTTCATTGTCTCAGAAGGGAGACAGCTAGTTATAGTGCCAGGCAAGTGTTGAAGTGCTGGAACAGAGGGAGTGGCAGATGCTTTGTGACACTAACAAAGAGCCACTGATTGACAGGAGGACAACAGGAAGGATCATGGCCAAGGGGGAATTGAGTGAGTCTTGGAGAGTATGGAGCAAGGGCAGTGGGAATTCAGTTGAAAAGTTGTCAGGGCCCAGAAAGCCGTGAAGCCTGTACACTAAGTGATTTGATCATGCTGATTTGTGCTGTGTGAGTGCATGTGACTTGGAGAGTGACATTTATAGCTTTTCTGCTGATACTTGACGCTTCTTTCAGCCTATCTGTGCCCAGGGGGGAGATAAAAGATCCCCAGAATCTATGAATAGCTTACCTTAACTTGTACAAGGGAATTTGCGCTTGTGCTTCAACCAAGGACTTAAGGGGGGAAGAGATTGTCTGGACAGTTCTGGGAGGCTTAGGGCAAGCAGGTGAGTATCAGGGAGATGAACAGGGGCACAGCCAAGGAATGCAGAAACTGGAAAGGGCAAGGGACCTCCCCCCCTGGGGCGCCAGGAGGACCAGCCCTGCCAGCTCCTGGGTTTTAGCCCACTGAGACCCTCGGTGGACTTCTGAACTTGAGAGCTGTTAGGCAATAAACTTGTGTTGATGACAGCTATAGACAACCAGTGCATCTCTCCTTACTCTTGAATTTACCAAGGCAAAGATGATCTCCCTGTCTCCTTGACTCTTTTGACTTTACTTTAGGAGAATAACAGAATGATGACAAAGCCGTACTTTTTTTGGGTGGCCACGTCTAGTAGAAAACACCCACCTTATTGTGATGTAGTGTTCACAATGTTGAGTTAATGTGTTGTTCTCCTGTAGGTTTTACCATTTGGAGTTTGAAAAATGGAACAAAAATCCCCCCCTTTTTTTTTTAAGATTTATTTTATTTAATTGAAAGAGTTACAGAGAGAAGTAGAGACAGAGAGAGAGGTATCCCATCTGCTGGTTTACTCCCCAGATGGCTGCAACGGCTGGAGTGGTGCCAATTTGAAGCCAGGAGCCAGGGAGCTTCTTCCAGGTCTCTCACGTGGATGCAGGGGCCTAAGGACTTGGGCCATCTTCCACTGCTATCCCAGGCCATAGCAGGGAGCTGGATCAGAAGAGGAGCAGCTGGGACTAGAACCGATGCCCATATGGGATGCTGGCACTTCAGGCCAGGACATTGACACGTTGCACCACAGCACTGACCCCAAAAATCCCCTCTTTTTTTTTTTAAAATTTTTTTTTTATTTTTTTTTAAGTTTTTGACAGGCAGAGTGGATAGTGAGAGAGAGAGAGAGAGAAAGGTCTTCCTTTTGCCGTTGGTTCACCCTCCAATGGCCACCGCGGCCTGCGTGCTGCGGCCGGCGCACCGCGCTGATCCGATGGCAGGAGCCAGGTACTTATCCTGGTCTCCCATGGGGTGCAGGGCCCAAGCACCTGGGCCATCCTCCACTGCACTCCCTGGCCACAGCAGAGAGCTGGCCTGGAAGAGGGGCAACCGGGACAGAATCCGGCGCCCCGACCGGGACTAGAACCCGGTGTGCCGGTGCCATAAGGTGGAGGATTAGCCTAGTGAGCCGTGGCGCCGGCATCCAAAAATCCCCTCTTAAACTTAATGGTCATGATGTGGAATGACTTTTGTACTTTCTGATGCTTAACATTAGACCTTTTCTTGTATTATATGCCTTACCACTAAAAAAAGGAGATAGTCACTCTTAGTTGCTCCTTGAATGTCTTTTTTTTTTCTTAGACAGAAATCTCTCATCTGCTGCTGCATTTCCCAAATGCTTACAATAGCTCGTCTCTCCCTGCTGTCTCCCAGGGTATACGTTAACAGGAAGCTGGAATTTAGGAGCAGAGCTGGGGCTTGAACCTAGGTACTCTGGTATGGAATGCAGGTGTTCCAAGTCGTCTCTAAATCATTAGGCCAAACACCTGCCCCCGAATGCCTTTGATCTTGTGTACATTATAGAATTGTCCTTGCCTTTCTTAGATGTGCCTTGTCTTATTGGGAAGATTACTGGATTTGATAGCCCAGGAATGCCATCTCTCTCTTTTGTTTCCAACACAGCAGTGACCAAATAGGAAGATGGGGTCTAAGCTCTCCATTGTGGTTTTTTTTTTTTTTTTTTTTTGATAGGCAGAGTGGACAGTGAGAGAGAGAGACAGAAAGAAAGGTCTTCCTTTGCCGTTGGTTCACCCTCCAATGGCCGCAGTGGCTGGCGTGCTGTGGCCGGCACACCGTGCTGATCCGATGGCAGGAGCCAGGTACTTATCCTGGTCTCCCATGGGGTGCAGGGCCCAAGCACCTGGGCCATCCTCCACTGCACTCCCTGGCCACAGCAGAGAGCTGGCCTGGAAGAGGGGCAACCGGGACAGAATCCGGCGCCCCGACCGGGACTAGAACCCGGTGTGCTGGTGCCGCAAGGCGGAGGATTAGCCTAGTGAGCTGCGGCGCCAGCCCTAAGCTCTCCATTGTAACCCAGGAAAAGGGCACTGATCCCTAAAGGCCAAGATTGATGCTGTTGCTGTGCCCAACACAGGAAGAAGTGCTGGATGTCATTTGGTGGAGAATCTGAAATAGCTTTCCTTTGTGGAGTTGCATTTTTCTGTTACCATTAAATGAACTGCACCCACCTTAAGGCTCAGAGTCTCTTAACATTCTCGCCTCTGGGGGCTGTCACATCACCGTGCTCCTGCCCTCTCCTCTGAAACTCTCCTGCCCTCTCTTCTGTTACTTCCTGTCCTCCTAGCTCCTTTGTATCTATAGTCTCCGTACACCTTTGAAGTTCCCCTCAAATCAGCCCTTTCCTTCAGTGTCTCTGCCTGTGTTCCAAAACTAGGTCCGGTTGCTGACTGGATGAATCTCTTAGAAGCCTTACTTTCCTTGATATGGAGCGCCCACATACACAAATCCCAAACCAGGTTTTTGTTCCGCTCACTGTAGTCCTCTTCCTCTGTCTCCCTCAATAGAGAGTGTTGCTGGAGAAAATCACAGCTGACAGATGCTCTGTCCACAGCCTCCACTTGTCTTTGTCAGCTGCTTTTGCTAATCCATTGCTGCATGACTCAATCCTTTATCACTGTCCTCGAAGATCTCAACAGCTGTTGTTCCTCTCACTGTTAGCATACAGCCTTGCTTTCTATTTTGGGAACATTTTTGTTGAAATGCCTGTTGACTTGGCATCGCAACTGTCTATCTTCCAGGAGGAGGTGGGAGAGAATGAGTATCCTCCTCCTCTTGTACAAGCTGATCCCTTAATTGCAGCTTCTGACCCATCCCCTCCCTCTCTCCTCCTGGCGCTCCAACCTTCTGGGCTGTTCTTCCTTCCTCAGCCTACAAACAAACAGATCTCCGCTTTGACCCCACCATCTCTTCTAGCTCTGCCCTGGTTTTCCTTCTTTCTCTACCTCCAAACTTCTCATCCTCATCATGGAGTTTGTTTCTTCTCTTTGCCAGTGTATTGAAATTGGTCTCCCTAAATCATTAGTGAACGCTTATCTAACCAGCCCAATAAATTTCAAAACTTAATTGATTAACTCTATTTTGATCATGCTCACCTTGAAATTCCCTCTACTATATCTTTTCATTGTCTAGTCATTCTCTCTGCTGCCTTTGTTGGCATCTGTTTCTCTTCCATTTGAAAGACAGAGTCACAGAGAGGTCTTCCACCCACTGGTTCACTCCCCAAATGGCCACAAAGACCAGGGCTGAGCTGATCCAAAACTAGGAGCAAGGAGCTTCTCCCAGGTCTTCCATGTAGGTGCAGAGGCTGGAGCACTTGGGCCAACCTCTGCTGCCAGGTACATTAGCAAGGAACTGGATCAGAAGTGGAACAGCTGGGACTGGAGCCAGTGCCCACATGGGATTCCAGCATTGTGGGCTGTGGTTTAACCCACGTTGCCACAGTTCTGGCAGAGCACTTGTTTTCTTATCTCTAATGTAAGGATAGTACATAATGATAAGTTTGTTTCCTCAAAGGCGGGGAGTGGGACGGGGTGGGTATTTGTAGTGGTGGGTGTACATCCATTAAATTCCAAGTGGAATTTAGCCTGGAAGCCTAGAGATTAAGGGGAGAGGTATAATTTCTGTACTCTTTTCTTCCTGGTCTTGGGGGGTTTCAGACATTGTGGGTTTATTTGAGGAATATCTCTGATGTTCTGTGTGGTGGGTGTCTGTGTCATACAGAGCTGGTCTGAGAGTTCATGCTGGCAGTTTAGAGCATCTCCCCTTCATCACAAACTTCTCTCCTGTTTCTTTTTCCCCAGCTTCACCTTCTCAGGATTCTCCTGTTATTCAAGAAAGTGCCATCAAGGACAAGAAGGGCATGGAAGCTGAATGGCTAAGTGCCCAGTCCCAGGTAAGTTGGGCTGCTCTTTGTTTTCCAACTAAGAATCCCATTTTGCTTACAACTTAAGAAATTTTATCTCTGATTCTCTCTTTTGAGAGATTGGGACCATTTTGTTTACTATATTTATAGTTTCATTTCCTTTACTGCAAAAGAACCCAGGTTTAACACTAATATGGGTGGGAGTCAAGTGAAGTGGTATCAAGGACTCTTAGTGAAATGTTGCTTCATCCACAAAAAGAAATTGTATCAGGTTTCTTCCAAAGAAGATGAGAGAACTGGGGATACTGGTGCCTCTTGAGAGTTTTTCTGGTCCCTGGCTGTGGTGCTGGCTGTGCTAATTCCTCCACAGGGAGCCTCTGTTTGGAGGAGCTTAGGGACAGGTTATGTCATTACCAAAAGGTTAACTCCTACCAAGAGGAAGGAGCTCCAACAGAACCTTTGGGCGCAGAGTGACTTGGGCACATCAAGAGTGGCAAGCTTTGCCCCCTTGTACCCTGTTCAGCTCCTCCTTCTGCAGGGTCTTTCCTGCAGGTCTGGTAAGCAGATTGAGTGCAGCTGAGATTCCCTGGCCTGATATTCCTTGGTCTGTCTGAAGGGCTTGGCCTCACACTGGAGTTTCTGGACAGGTATTTGGTGTGTGCCTTTAACACAAGGAGATTTAAATATTTTTAAGATTCAGGAGAAACTTTGTTTAATGACATTTAATGCTAGGGCTGATGTTGTGGCATAATGGTTTAAGCCACTGCCTGCAACACTGCATCCCATGTGGGCACTGGTTCAAGTCCTGGCTGTTCCAATTCCCATCCAGCTCCCTGCTAATGCACCTGGGAAAGCAGCAGAAGACGGCCCAAGTCTTTGGGCCCCTGCACGCACGTGGGAGACCCAGAAGAAGCTCCTGGCTCCTGACTTTGGCTTGGCCCAGCCCTGGCTGTTGCAGCCATTGCGGGAGTGAACCAGCAGATGGAATGTCATGCGCTCGCTCTTTCTCTCCTTCTCTCTGTAGCTTTGCCTTTCAATTAAATAAAAGAAATTGTTAAAAATTAAGATGACTTGTGATTGTCCAAATGAATTTTAGAGAAGTGGGTTTGTGAAGGACCTGAGTATTTTTGTTTGTTTTTAAGATTGAAAGGCAAAACAACAGAGAGTCGGGGGTGGAGAGAGATCTTTCCATCCACTGGTTCACTCCGCAAATGGCCACAACAGCCGGAACTGGGGCAAGCTGAAGCCAGGAGCCTAAAACCTTCATCCTGGTCTTCCACATGGGTGTCAGGGAAGCAAGTACTTGAGCCATCTTCTGACGCCTTCCCAGTCAGATTAACAGGAAGTTGATTGGACATGGAGCAGCCAGGACTCCAGTTGGCTCTCCAGAATGTGATGCCAGCATTGTAAGTGACAGCTTAACCCTCTGTACCATAGTGCTGGCCCAAAGACCCAGATTTTTATTTGAAGAATCAGTTCATCACAGGTAACAGGGCTGAGCAGAACTGAAACAAATACCAAGAAATAATTGGCAAGGTAGAGCTGATGAGCTTGACAAGGAGGTGAGCAAGTTTTCTGGCTTCTATACTGTGTGAATGTATGTATAAGACTCTGAGGTGGATGGTGCGTTACAGTTAAAGGAACTAACATGGTGAAGTTAAAGAAACAAGCATCATTCAACACAAAATCTAATGTGTCCGAGCTAAGTTCAGGTCTGCCTGGTTTAAACCAAGTTCTTAACTAGTGTCTCACACTTCAGTGGTGACACTGTCCACTGCTTTGTCTCTGTTCCTGCTAAAGGTACAGTGTATTTCCTACAGGAATGCTAAAAGCACCAGTCCGTAAATCAGATGACCAGTTATGTTAAAAATGGTAGCTTTCAGCGAGAGACAAGACGGTGAATGTGTCAAGGACCCCAGAGGAGAGCAGTGGGGACACCTGAGTACTATGAGAATGAGGTGGGTGAATGGTTCCATTGCCACCAGGTCATAAGGGGCAGGGTAAGTCCTGGAGAGCAGACACATGATTCATGGAGACTGTTACTGTCTGTCATGGGAATGCACCCCTCCCACCACCGCCATATTTGGCATATCCAGCTGGCCATCTCCCTTAGTGAAATAAAGGCAGAGGTAAGGGAACCCTTCCTGGAAAAAGAACAAGTAGAAGATATCTTGGAAGAAAAAAGATACCTAGTTTGTAAAATCTGAAAATTCCTTCAAAAATGTTTTGTGTTTGGCAGAGTTCTTTCCTTCTAGTATATAGCTGTGTGATTTCTGATAAATGCACATAGTTGGGTAACCCCCATTTGAATCAACATAGAGAGTAGATCCATTCCCCCCAGACTCCCCACATGTGACCTCTCTATTGTTGGGCTTCTGTCTTTGCCCCTCACCTCTGGTGACCACTCATTCCTCTCCAGTCCGCTGGTTCACTCTCCAATTGGCTGCAACAGACAGGGCAGAGGCAGGCTGAAACCAAGAGCCAGGAGCTTCCTCCAGGTCCTCCACATGAGTGCAGGGGCCCAAACATTTGGGCCATCCTCTGCTGCTTTACCCAGAAATCTACTTAGCAGCACAAAGGGCCAGCATTGTGGCATACAGGGTGAAGCTGTGACCACGATGCTGGGGTCCCACATGGCACCAGCTTGTGTCCTGGCTGCTCCACTTGAGACCCAGCTCCCTGTTAGTGTGCCAAGGAGAGCAGAAGACCTCTCTAACTCTGAGAGAAGTGGGGAGAGAGAGGTCTTCCATCTACTGATTTACTCCCCAAATGGCCACAGTAGCTGGTGCTATACCAGGCTGAAGCCAGGAGCCAGGAGCTTCATTTGGGTCCCACACTTGGGCCATCCTCTGTTGCTTCCCCAGGTGTGTTAGCAGGGAGCCGGATCAGAAGTGGAGCAGCCAGGATGTGAACCAGTGCCTCTATGGAATGCAGGCGCTGCAGGTGGGGGGTTAACCCGCTATGCCACAGCACTAGTGCCAATTAAACAAATCTTAAGACAATAAGTAAAAATGCTTATGATAGTTCTTAACCTAAGATTTCACTTTGGACTTGTTCTTGAGTAGACCAGATCCCTCAAAATAAATACTCCTAGAATAAATTCTCGTCTGTCCTCTTGCATTGCTCCAGTGCTGTTAACCTAAACTCCCTTGCTTTTGATTTTTGTTTGTTTGTTTTGAAAGAATAGAGATTTGCCTAATTCATGGCTGTGGAGACCGGGAAGTCCAACAGCGTGACGCTGGCATCTGTTCCACATTGGATAGGAGCCTGCCTGGGAGCAGAGGTCCATTCGGCATCTGGTACCCACACTGGTCTCCTGTGCTCTGCCCCTGGTGCAGCCGGCCCTTCCTGATGAGAGATGCTGGGGCATTTCTCTCTCCTCTGTGCAGGTGACGGTTTGAGTGGTGAAGAGACAGTGACAGTGTCAAAGCCTTTCTCCTGGACCTTGCCAGGGTTATCAAAGGCTCCATTTGTGGTATCTGTACCATCTCAAAGCGAGATGCTCAAATCCCACAAAAGAGGTGCAGCGTTTAAGAAGGGTAAGCAGCGACCTAGCACAGAGGAGAGCCCAGAGTGTGGGACGGAAATGGGAGTGAGCACTTGCTGTTAGAGTTTTCCGTGGTGTGCTTGGAATGGTGCAGTATTCTGGTTCAGTCTCCTCCTGTGTGATCGAGTGTTGCTTCCTGTGCTTCAGTCAGCAACAGCCTGCAGCACTTGGATCCATCACTACACAGAGATGTTTGGTCATGGGTGGAATTCTTTCTCATGTCAATTTTCAGTACTCTTTGGGTGCTCCCCTGTTCGTGCTCAGCAAAGTTATGAATGCTGCTTGGTTTCAGGATATAGCTGACCGGCATGTGACGTATCAGGGAGGGAGTCTCACCACTTCCCTAGTGTGAGCGAAATCATTGCTGACTGCCCTTCAACCTGTAGCTGCACGGTCCTTTCTCATCCAGGAGATGTCTGTGAGTCTCTTTCCCATCTTTTTTTTTCAAGATTTTATTTATTTGAGAGGTAGACTTACAGGCAGAGAGAAAGATCTTCCTTCTGATGGTTCATTCCCCTAACGGCCATAACTGCTGGAGCAGGGCTGATCAGAAACCAAGAGCTTCCTTTGGGTCTCCCAAGCCGATGCAGGGACCCAAGCACTTGAGCCATCTTCCACTGATTTCCCAGGCCATAGCAGAGAGCTGGCTTGGAAGAGGAGCAGCCAGGACATGAACCGGTGGACGTACAGGGATGCCAGCACCACAGGCGGAGGCTTAGCCCGCTATGCCACAGCACTGGCCCCTTCCTACCTGTCTTGTTGGTCAGCTGGTTAGTCTCCTGCATATGTCCCTTCTCTACTGCCTGTTTTGCTTTGAATATCGCTGGTGCAGTAAAGGAACTGAAATGCACCAGTGGATGTCTAACAGAAAGGAACTGGCCTTGCTACTTTGGATTTGGCTTCCCTTACAGCAGTGCAGTCCTTATACAACAGTGGGTGCCTCTTCTCAATCCTCTTTGCTTTATCCAGTATCAGTGCTGATGACGCGAAGACCCCTGGAAAAGCTTATCTTTTCCAGTTGCACCTCTTCTCCTTGGTGAAGCGACAGACTTCCGCAAGACAGTCTCTCCACAGTCTGCTGTGAGCAGCTCAGCCTCTGCAGAGAAGTTCTCTTTACCATGTCCGTCTCCGCCAAACTGCAGGCTGCTGAGGGCCACTGAGTCACCTGCCATCAGTGGGCATGATGGGATCGGAAGGAGGCCAGGGCAGCTTGCTCTGACCAACTCCCTGACTGGGGAAGGCAGGACTCACTCTGCCAAGGGCCCTCTGCATGTTTCTTCTTTCTGAGGAGCTGGAATTTTTGCCTCTGGTGCACACAAAGCAGAATTTTCTTAATCCAGGGTGTAGATTTTTAACACCCCAGTGGGTTTGAAAGGACCACAGACAGGGTTTTCTGCAGCTATTTTCTAGCATTTGCCAGCCCCTTGGACTGACTTGAATATTTGGTGTTTTTTTTTGGTGTGTGTTTGACCCTCCCACCTCTGGCCTTCCTGCTTTCTACCACCCTTGGATGAATGGGATTTGTAATTCTAACTGTTGTGTTTTGTGGATTTGCTATTTTTATTGTGTTTCTAGGAAGCACATGCATTGGACGTGGGAGGTAAAAGAGAATCTCTGTTGCTCCTGCTAACTCTCTTTATAGCCATCACTGTTTCTTTAAGGTTTTATTTATTTATCTGAGAGGTAGAATTACAGACAGTGAGAGGGAGAGAAAGAGAGAAAAGTCTTCCATTCACTGGTTCACTCCCAAGTGGGCACAACGGACGGAGCTGGGCTTATCTGAAGCCAGGAGCCAGGAGCTTCTTTTGGGTCTCCCACACGGGTGCAGGGACCCAAGCACTTGGTCCATCTCCTACTGCTTTCGAAGGGCGTAGCAGAGCAGGATCGGAAGTGGAGCAGCTGGGACTACACTAGTGTCTATATGGGATGCCGTTGCCACAGGTGGAGGATTAACCTGCTACGCTACAGTGGCGGCCCCACCATCATTGTTTCTTATTTGAGGTTAAGTTTTGTCTTTCTTGCTCCACTGTAATAATTAATAGATAGGCAGAAGAAGCAGAGGATGGATAGATAGATATGGATAGAAAAGACAGATGGATAGATAGAATAGGTAGTCTGCAGAGATGGGACAGGAGGAGGAAAGACCTTACAGCCAGGTCTGTTGGGTTTTGAGGAGTGGTTTTCTTTCTTCCCCTTGAAGGAGACTGCTTTTTTCATGGTGCTTTGAAAACTCCCTGGCTGTGAGGAGGTAACAGTTCTAGACAAGTGGCACCACAACACAAAATGCTCGGAGAGCTTGAACTTTTCAACTCTGGAGGACTGGAATGCACTGTTAGCCACTGCCGGGTCTGTCTGCTATTTCAGGGAATGCTGTGTGCTGCGAATAGGAACTGAAAGGGTAAACTTGCTATACCCATGAAACCTGTGATTGGTTGGCGTTTTCCTGCCATTTTAAGAGAAATAATATGTGTGAGGAGATGGGGCAGCTGTCAGACCACTTGTACGCTTTAAAATAAAAAAGTCATAATGAGGCCGGCGATGTGGCTCACTAGGCTAATCCTCCGCCTTGCAGTGCCGGCACACCGGATTCTAGTCCCGGTCGGGGCGCCGGATTCTGTCCCAGTTGCCCCTCTTCCAGGCCAGCTCTCTGCTGTGGCCAGGGAGTGCAGTGGAGGATGGCCCAAGTCCTTGGGTCCTGCACCCCATGGGAGGGTGAACCAACGGCAAAAGGAAGACCTTTCTCTCTGTCTTCTCTCTGTCTCTCTCTCTCTCTCACTCACTGTCCACTCTGCCTGTCCAAAAAAAAAAAAAGTCATAATGAAATGTGAGCTGGTTTCCCACCCAAGGAAAAAAAAATAGCCTTCCTGCTGCACCGTAATGTGGCAGAGGGCATCACAAGGCAAGGCAGAGCCAGTGTGCTAACTTGTGTTTTCCTTCCTCTTCATCATTTCTTTTTATTTTTTAAAAAGGCTTTATTTATTTATTTGAGAGGTAGAGTTACAGAGGGAGAAACAGAGAGAGAGATCTTTATCCACTGGTTCACTCCCTAAATGTCTGCAATGGCCAGAGCTGGGCTGATCTGAGGTCAGGAGCCAGGAGCTTCTTCCAGGTCTCCCAGGTCTGGGCCATCTTCCACTGCTTTCCCAGGCCATCAGCAGGCACCTGGATCGGAAGAGGAGCAGCTGGGACACGAACCAGCACCCACGTGGGACGCTGTTGCTGCAGGTGGAGGCTTAGTGTACTGAACCACAGCACCAGCTGCCATTCTTTTTATTATTTTTAAAATTTATTTACTTGAAAGGCAGAGTTACACAGAAAGAGTGAGGTATCTTCCACCTGCTGGTTTACTCCCCAGACATTACCAGGGAGCTGGATTGGAAGTGGAGTGGCTAAGACTCAAACTAGCACTCATAGGAAATTTCCTTATCACAAATAGCGGCCTAACCGGCTGTGCCGCAGTACTGGCTCTGACTTCCCTTCTTGTCAGGACTCAGGAGAGGAAAGCCAGATAACACAGCTGACTCAATACAAAATTTATTCTGACGTTACAGACACTGGTGACCTTCAAGGATGTGCTTGTGGACTTCACCAAGGAGGAGTGGAAGCTGCTGGACACGGTTCAGCAGATGATATACAAGGATGTGATGTTGGAAAACTATAAGAACCTGCTTTCCTTGGGTAAGAGTAACCTCTGCTTTTCCTTTTTTTTATTTTAAAAAGACTTATTTATTTGAAAGGCAGAATGATAGGAGAGACGGAGAGACAGAAGGAGATCCTCCACCTGCTGGTTCACTCTCCAAATGACCATGATGGTTGAGATTGGGCCAGACTGAAGCCAGGAGACAGGAGCTTTTTCTGGGTCTCCCACTTGGGTGCAGGAGCCCAAGCAGTTGGGCCATTTTCCCTGCTTTTCCATGCACATTCGTAGGGAGCTGGATCAGAAGTGAAGCAGCTGGGATTGGCATTCTGATATAGGATGCTGGTGTTGCAGGTGGTGGCTTAATCCACTGTGCCATGTCAGCCCCTCTGACCTCTGCTTTTGAAGATAAACTTACCCTGGTGGTTTTGGTTCCTGATCAAAACATAAAGCATAATTTAGGGTATGAGCTTGGGGTTCTGTGACCTAATTTCTTTGAGGCATGGAATAGCATTTTTCTACTACTTTTGTGGAAATGTTAATTATTTTTCAAGATAAGTTTCCTTTTCTTGCTCTGCATCCTCACATATTTAATTTTTCAGACCCTCTGTGGTACTCTGAGAGGGTTGGATACTTTACTCTGGGATCCTTCTTCATGTCAGCCCTGAGCTTCCCCAACTCTTACCCAGTTCTTTGTCTTTTCCTGGGAACAGGGCATCCACTTCCTAAGCCAGACGTGATCCTTCGGTTGGAGAAAGGGGAAGAGCCCTGGCTGGTGGAGAGAGGGTTTCGTTGCAAGGCTCATTCAGGTAAGGACCAGACAAGAGTTGCCCTGGGCAGTAGACCAGATGACCCATGAGGGGCCGAACTGCTGCAGATAGTGACCCGTTTTCCACACGGGTCCTTGTTTCTGAAGAGACTGAGTTTTTCTGCCTTCTCTGTCCACAGTGCCAGTCTTCCTTCTGCAGTCCAGTCACACTGCGTTTGCAGTCAGGCGCTCAGGTGTCTTGCTGCTTCATTAAAATTACCTTCTTATTGATATGCTCTGTTCCAGCCCTGTTCATGTTGCTTTTCTCATTATTACCACGGACTCGAGCATCTCCATTCTCTAATTTATCACAGAATCATTGTCTTTGCTACTTTTCTTTTTCATGTTGACCCTTCCTATAGGCTCAGTTCTCTGACAGGAGATGGGAGTCTGTCACCTGCCACTATCCTGAGATTGTTTTCTGCTGGTTAGAAAACCCAGGGCTGCCAAACTCCTTGTTGGCTTACCTGTCCGTCCTTCCCAGAAGTGCAATTCTCAAAAATACCTGATTCCCTCACTGTGCTCTAGTTATTTGTCTTTCATTCCATTCATTCCTGTTTCATTTTAATGTTAATATTTACAAGGTGCACATTGTAATTTTGTTTCCAAAGACAGTTCCTTCTCCCTCTTTACCTGTGTATAAGGAAATATTTACAGGGGAGATTGTCTTCCATGGTAAAAAATAGAAAATTTTCTTTCAGCTTCCCACTCCTTTATTCTCTGTAAGTGTTACTTTCTCTGACCTTTTTACCCAAGTGCAATATTCCAATATGTTCCTTTTTTTAAAAGATTCATTTATTTATTTGAAAGAGTTAGCGAGAGAGGGAAGACGGAGATCTTCCATCCACTGGTTCACTCCCCAAATGACTGCAATGGCCAGGGCTGGTCCAGGCTTAAGCCAGGAGCCAGGAGTTTCCTCTGGGTATCCCATGTGTGTACAGGGGCCCAAGCATCTGAGCCACCTGCTGCTGCTGTCCCAGGCACATTAGCAGGGAGCTGGTTCAGAACTGGATCAGATGGGACTTGAACCAGCGCCCATATGGAATGCCAGTGCTGCAGATGGCAGCTTAACCTGCTGTGCTGCAGTGCCAGTCCCGACATCTTCCTTCTTAGCCATCTTAGGTGCTATGGTCTAAATCAGTGCAAATAACCTCTTTCTTACCATGTAGAATGGGCAGGACACTTAGCATTGATTCCATGCAGGCTAATATGGGACTGTAGCCTCCCAAGTCCAGTGCAGTGCAGTTCCAGCAGAACAACCTGCAGGCATGTTTCTGTTCCTCCAGTACCTAGTATACACACGTATCAGGCATTTCACCGAGTCTTGGGATTTGAGTGTGATCTCAGTTCTCTTTTTCACTATGGAACCTTTAGTGACTCCTCATTGAGTAGAAGTCCTTTCTTTTTCTGACCTTCCACTTAGTTTAAGTGTGTACTCAGAAGTATCATGAACTGTTTTTGACTTTCTAATAATTCACTTGTTAGATGCTTGTAAAAAATATCATGTCTTGGGGCTGGTGCTGTGGCGTAATGGGTAAAGCCGCCGCCTGCAATGCCTGTATCCCATATGGGCGTTGGTTCGACTCCCTGCTGCTCTACTTCCCATCCAGCTTTCTGCTGCGGCCTGGGAAAGCAGTGGACAATGGCCTGAGTCCTTGGGCCCCTGCGCCTGCATGGGAGACCCAGAAGCTCCTGGCTCCTGCCTTCAGATCGGCGCAGCTCCAGCCATTGCAGCCAATTAGGGAGTGAACCAGCGGATGGAAGACCTCTCTCTCTCTTTCTCTCTCTCTTTCTCTGCCTCTCCTTCTCTCTCTATGTAACTCTGACTTTAAATTAAAATAAATAATTCTTAAAAAAAAAAAAAAGAAAAAAATCATGTCTCAAGGTCTTTAAAAAAAAGCTGTTAAGAACTTGATCATCAGTAGGGCTGGTGCTGTGGCGCAGTGGGTTAATACCTTGGTCTGAAGTGCTGGCATCTCATATGGGCATCGGTTCGAGACCTGGCTGCTCCACTTCTGGTCCAGCTCTCTGCTGTGGCCTGGGAAAGCAGTAGAAGATGGCCCAAGTCCTTGGGCCCCTGCATCCACGTGAGAGACCCAGAAGAAGCTCCTGGCTCCTGGCTTTGGATTGGTGCAGCTCCGGTCATTGGTGGCCATTTGGGGAGTGAACCAGAGGATGTAAGACACCTCTCTCTCTTTCTCTCTCTCTCTCTCTCTCTCTGCCTCTCCTTTCTGTATTACTCTGACTTTCAAATAAATCAGTCTTTAAAAAAAAAAAAAAAGAACTTGATCATCAGTTGCTTTGGAACTGTGAGAGGATAGGTTATTCTGTTTTCCTTCTTTTAATAAAGGAAAATACTCCATTTATATGCACTAATACTTTTCCTGTCTTTACTAAGTTCTCCATCCTCACACAAATGTTAATTTTAGAATCTTCCAGTGGCATCTATAGTTTAAAAATCTTCGTAGTGTTCTCTGTGCCTTCGGTGAAGGCAAACTGAGGAAAAGGTGATGTATTTCCTATCATAAATCAATATGGGGCAGGCACCTGATACAGCAAGTTGGGATGCCCACATCCCATCATCCAAGCGCCTTGGTTTGAGTGTCAGCTTCACTTACACTTCCAGCTTCCTGCTAACGCACCCTGGGGAAAGAACGAATAATGATGCCGCTGGATCCCTGTGACTCACTGGGAGACCCAGATTGAGTTCTCAGCTCCTGGCTTTAGCCTGACCCAGCCCAGGTAGTTTTGGGGATTTAGGGAGGGAATGGCCCAGCAGATAGGAAATCTCTGTCTCTCTGGCTTTCAAATAAAAAGAAAATGCAGTGGGGAGAAACTAGGAAATAACAAAGTTGTGAATGAAAATTAAGACCAAAGGGAGGGGCTGGCGCTGTGGCGCAGCGGGTTAAAACCTGGCCTGAAGCACCAGCATTCCATGTGGGTGCCAGTTTGAGACCCGGCTGCTCCACTTCCGATCCTGTGGGAGACCCGGAAGAAGCTCCTGGCTCCTGGCTTTGGATCGGCGCAGCTCCAGCCATTGCAGCCAATGGGGGAGTGAACCAGCAGATGGAAGACCTCTCTCTCTTTCTCTGCCTCTCCTCTCTCTGTGTGTAACTCTGACTTTCAAAAAAAAAAAAAAAAAAAAGACTAAGGGGATACATTTATTGGCTTCCTCCTTTCTGCCAGTTGATGCCACTGAGGAAGCATTATCAAAGTCTGTTTTCCCACTGCTGTCATGTTTAAGTCATCGTCTAAAGAATCGAAACAGCTGCAGAAGCTTGTCATCTGAGCTCATCTTTGAAACAGTCAGTGAGCATGGGAGGAGCTGTCCTGAGCAACAGGAATGTTTACAGATGGTGGTGATGAGACCTGGGGGCTTTGAGCACCATGGAGGAAGTGGATGCAGCTGTGGGCACAAGACCACATAAGGTAGACAGAAGAGTTGTAGAACCAAGAAGGACTGCATGAAAATAAGATTATGCAAGACTAACTGTGAAAAAGATCTTGGTTGATGGCATTAAAGAAGAGCATCACCTCAGAGATTATTTCAAGCAGTATGGGAAAACTGAAGTGACTGAGATAATGACTGACCCAGGCACTGACAAGAGGGGCTTTGCTTTGATGACCCTGACTCTGGATAAGATTTTCACTTAAAATACCGTCCTGTAAATGGTCACAGTTGTGAATGGCGGAAGTCCCTGTTGAAGCAGGAGATGGCAGGTGCTTGATCTACTCCAACAAGTTGAAGTGGGGGCCAGCATTGTGACATTGTGGGTTGAGATGATGGCAGCATCCCATATGGGCACCTGTTCTAATTTTCAGGCTGCGCCACTTCTCAGTCCAGCTCCTTGCTAATGCGCCTGGGAAAGCAGCAGAAGATGGCCCAAATACTTGGGCCTCTACTCACATGGGAGACCTGGATTAAGTTCCTGGTTTGGGCCTAGCTGCTGTGATCATTTTGAGGAGTGAACCAGAGGAGGGAAGTTCTGTTTCTCTCTCTCTCTCTCTTTTTTTTAAGATTTTAACTCTCTGAGATACAGAGAGAATGAGAGGCAGAGAGAGAGAGAGAGAGAGAGAGAGGTCTTCCATCCGCTGGTTCACTCCCCAATTGGCTGCCATGGCTGGAGCTGTGCCGATCCGAAGCCGGGAGCCAGGAGCTGCTTCTGGGTCTCCTACACGGGTGCAGGGGCCCAAGGACTTGGGCCGTTTTCTGCTTTCCCAGGCTGTAGCAGAGAGCTGGATCAGAAGTGGAGCAGCCGGGAGTCGAACCAGCACCCATAAGGGATGCTGGCACTGCAGGCGACAGCTTTTCCTGCTACGCTACAGTGCTGGCCCCTGTCTCCCTTTCTGTCCTTGTAACTCTGCCTTTAAAATAAGTAAATAAATCTTAACAGGAGGTAGAAGAGGATCTGGAAGCTTGTGGTCATGGAGGTGGTTTTGGTGGCAATGACAACTTTCATCGTGGAGGAAATGTCTGTGGTTATGGCCTTGGCAGCAGCCAAGATGGTGGTGGATATGGTGGCGGTGGGGATGGTTACAATGGATTTGGTAATGGTGGAAGTGGTTTTGAAGGTGATGAAAGGTACAGTGATTTTGGCAGTTACAACACTCAGTCTTGTCTTTTTTAAGATTTATTTAAAAGGCAGAGTTACAGAGAGGCAGAGACACAGAGAGAGAGTGATCAATTTTCCATCCATTGATTCACTCCCCAAATGGCCACAGTGGCTGGAGCTGGGATGATCTGAAGCCAGGAGCCAGGAGCATCTTCTTGGACTCCCACGTGGGTTCAGGGCCCCAAGCATTTGGGCCATCTTCTGCTGCTTTCCGAGGCCACAGCAGAGAGCTGGATTGGAAGTGGAGCAACTGGGTCTTGAACCAGCGCCTGTGTGGGATGCTGGCATTGCAGGTGGTAGCTTTACCGGCCCCACAGCAATCAGTCTTTAAATTTTGAAACATTGGAGGCAGAAGCTCTGGCCCTTATGGTGGTTGTGGGGCCAGTAGTTTGCCAAACCATCCCATGTAATCAAGGTGGCTATGGTGGTTGTAACAGTAGCTGTGGTAGTGGCAGGTTTTTAATGGCTGCCAGAAAACAAAACTTAGCCAAGTCCGGTGTTGGCAGGTTCTCACTGCTACAAGAGAAACATGTTTTAAACAATACTCACGTGTATGGACAAAACTCTAGTCCATTTGTGTGACTAATTGTGTAACTGATTATTTTAGTTTCTGTTCTGTGGAATGCATTCCAACAAAGGAGGTTTTAATGCAGTTTTTTTTTTTTTTTGCACTCATGCTGTTGATTACTAAATGCGATAGTCTGATCATGACACTGAATAAATGTGTATTAAAAAAAAATGAAAAATTAGGACTAAGGTGGGGTTGTACAAAGAAGTCACAGGACCTGGCCTGGCCCAGGGATTTTTTACCAGGTGTACTAGTTTCCTAGGGCTGATATAACAACACACATGTTGAGCATTGCTAATCCAGAAAGCTGAAAGAATACCAAACCCAAAACTTTTTGATCTTGTATATTAATGTTTGGACGAGAAAGTGAGGGTACAGTCCTTTCTGTGGAATTCTTACTGCCACCTGCACGGCTGACTGTCATTATCACATTTGTCATGTTCAGTCCTCTGCTTCTTTGTACTTTCTGTTCCTTTTATGTACTGTCTAGCCCAGTGCCTTTGTGTTTCCTCTTCCCTTTGTCATTCTCTATTGAGGGTATAAAGCCATATTTGAAAGTAATTCCACATGTGTCTTACAGTCTTCGTCTGCATGTACATCTTTCCATTCTCACCTTAATATGTAGTTATGCCGCGGCTCACTTGGCTAATCCTCCGCCTTGCGGCACCAGCACACTGGGTTCTAATCCCGGTCGGGGTGCCAGATTCTGTCCTGGTTGCTCCTCTTCCAGGCCAGCTCTCTGCTGTGGCCCAGGAGTGCAGTGGAGGATGGCCCAAGTCCTTGGGCCCTGCACCCCATGGGAGACCAGGAGAAGCATCTGGCTCCTGCCATCAGATCAGCGCAGCGTGCCAACCGCAGCAGCCGTTGCGGGGTGAACCAACGGAAAAGGAAGACCTTTCTGTCTGTCTGTCTCTCTCTCTCACTGTCCACTCTGCCTGTCAAAAAAAAAAAAAGTAGTTACACAAAACTTTTTTTTTTTTTTCAGATTCTGAGACTGAAGTTGAAATTAAATCATCAGTTTCCAGTAGGAACATTTCTAAAGATGAACAATGCTGTGACATTAAGATGGAAGGAACATCGGGGAATGATCTCTGGTATTTATCATTAGAAGAAGTCTGGAAGTGTGAAGACCAGGTGGACAGATATCAGCAAAACCAAGAGAGACATTTGAGGCAGGTAGCATTCACCCAGAAGAAATTACTTTCTCAGGAAAGAGTGTGTGAAAGTGGTAAATATGGAGGAAGTTGTCTTCTTCCTGCTCAGCTAGTACTGAGGGAGTATTTCCATAGACGTGACTCAAATCCTAAAAGTTTAAAACGTGATTTAGTTTGTAGTGATCATCAGGAAAGCCCTGCAGGTCACAGTGATGAATGTGGTCAAATCTTCTGTCAAAACATTCATCTTATGCAGTTTGCAAGAACTCACACAGGAGAGAAAGCTTACGAATGTGCTAAGGATAATTCTCTGAACCACGGTACATCTCTTGGTGTAACGAAGGTCATACATAGAGAGAAACCCTATGAATGTAAGCAATGTGGGAAATGCTTCAGCTGGCGCTCTAATCTTACCAGGCACCAGCTTATTCATACTGGAGAGAAACCCTATGAATGTAAAGAATGTGGGAAGTCTTTCAGCCGCAGCTCTCACCTCATTGGACATCAAAAGACTCATACTGGTGAGGAACCTTATGAATGTAAAGAATGTGGAAAATCCTTTAGCTGGTTGTCTCACCTTGTTACCCACCAGAGAACTCACACCGGAGACAAACTGTACACCTGTAACCAGTGTGGGAAATCTTTTGTTCATAGCTCTAGGCTTATTAGGCACCAGAGAACTCATACTGGAGAGAAACCCTATGAATGTCCTGAATGTGGCAAATCTTTCAGACAGAGCACACATCTCCTTCTGCATCAGAGAACTCACGTGAGAGTGAGGCCCTATGAATGTAATGAATGCGGGAAGTCGTACAGCCAGAGATCTCACCTTGTTGTGCATCACAGAATTCACACTGGGCTAAAACCTTTTGAGTGTAAAGATTGTGGGAAATGCTTTAGTCGAAGCTCTCACCTTTTCTCTCACCAGAGGATCCACACTGGAGAGAAACCATATGAATGCCACGATTGTGGGAAATCCTTCAGCCAGAGTTCTGCCCTTATTGTACATCAAAGAATTCATACTGGAGAAAAACCATATGAATGTTGTCAGTGTGGGAAAGCCTTCATCCGGAAGAATGACCTCATTAAGCATCAGAGAATTCATGTTGGAGAAGAGACCTATAAATGTAACCAGTGTGGCATTATCTTCAGCCAGAATTCTCCATTTATAGTACATCAAATATCTCATACTGGAGAGCGGTTCTTAACATGTAATCAGTGTGGAACAGCACTTGTTAACAGCTCTAACCTTATTAGATACCGGAGAAATCATATTAGAGAAAATACCAATATCATGAATATAGAAGACTCATAAGGAGCGATCACTTCATTCTGTGGTGCTCATCATCTGAAGTGAGGCTGTACAAAGGGGGTCCATGTGGAAGTGCTTTGAAACTTGTCACTACCCTGTTGCACACTAGAGAGTTGGTCTTGGAGAGGGGAACTATACAAATATTTCAGTACAAAAATATATCAGATTTTCTTCTTTCCACAAATTCCTACTAAAGTAATTGGGATGGGAATGTTCTTGACCAAACTTGAAGTTCTACAGCCTGAGAAGGAACCAGTAAGTAGGTGAACTGTTGAAATACAACACACTGCATTATCTTATTCAATAAGGCAAATGAAAAAATATGCTACTGAAGAGGGAGTGTTGCTGAGAATTAATAAATTAATGACTGTTACTGCACTAAGAAAAGGAAAAGTAGTAATCCAGTGAATTAGTATGACATTGGTTACTGGATTGTGCCTCTCTTCCTGGGATACTTAGTGCTTAGTATGTTTTAGGTGTCTTGTATAAACTACATTTTGATTAGAAGCATGGGAAATGCTTACAAAATAACTTAAACATTTTGGGGAGTGGACATTTGGCATAGCAGTTAAGACTCCAATTGGGCTACCCACATCCTGTATCAAAGTGCCTGGCTCTTCTCCCAGTTCCAGCTTCGTATTGTGCACACCCTGAGAAGCTAGGGCTGATGGTTCAAGTAGCTGGGTCCCTGCCATTCGTGTGGGAGATCTGGATTGAGTTCCTGACTCCAGAGGATTGAACCAACACATGGAATCTCTTCCCACCTCTCAAATATATGTGCATGTGAGCGAGAATTCAAAGTATAGAGAAATGAACGGAATTGATGAGATTACAAATTTCCTGGGCTAGTGTTGATGTGATGATTTTAAGACATTTTCAAATACTCAAAAGGTTATCTAGTATTGTCTATGCTATTAAGGACTCTTGAGGACCAGCTGCTGGCAGACTTTCCTTTTCTAAGTTGTCTGGGGTCACAGAGTTCCAGTCTGAGACCTGGTGTGAAAGGATCTTGAAGCATAGAGGGGTATTCGGCATGTGGATGGATCAGGGAGAGTCTCAGTTTGAATGGGATTTGGTGCTTGAGAGTCTCTGCCAAAGACATCCTTTCTCTCAAGGAATTCTTATATTTATGAAGGAAACATGGTCTGAGAGCATAGACCTGAGTTGAAATACTCAGGTTTCAATCCCACCTCTGTACCCAACTAGATGCTGGGCATGCTGCTTAGTTTACCTGTGCCTCACTGAAACTTCCCATAAATTAGACAATAATTATACTTACTCATATGATTGTGGTGGGAGTAATAAATGACTAGAGCTCAGATTAGTACCTGATACATAGAATGACATTATAATTAGTAGCTGCACTGGTGGATATTGCCCCAGCCCAGTGTCTGTCATTTCATTTAAACTTGCTTGCATACTTTTGTGTACTTTTTTTGTGCTTTCTCGCTTCCAATCGTACATGGTTTTCCCTTTTGCCTAAATCATAATTTGGGAAAATCATTGACAAATAGTGATGTCTGATTTCATTTTTGAGGAACAGTAAACAACTTTGAATACTGTCTGTAAAACTGACCTGTTTGTATGAGGTTTTTCCATTCTAGGTAGAGGATCCTGATCTTCAGGAAGAGGATCTGTTGTAACTTTATTTCAGTGAATGAATCTCCTGTGTAGGGACTGAGCATGATTTGCCATTTTTCTAGCATATGTACTGTATGTTCAGTAAATGTTGAATGATAAATGAATAGTGTTACTGCTTCCTGGAAAGAAATCTTGATAGATCACCCAGGAAAAATTTAGAAATGGTGGCTGGGATCATGAGCTATAAGGTTGTGATGAGGCCCTCTAACTCATACTCTCAATAAAGATGGTATCTTGAAAAATGTTCAGAAACCTGGGATTACTGAAGAGCAAGAAAAAGTCTGCGGCGCCAAATGAATGCTAGTACCACTGGTGGTAGTTGGTGATCTTTGTAAGGTATCCATGTGCTAAGTCATTTCATGTTTAATTTCACATGTCAACCGTATGAGGAAATTTATGTTCCCAATTCTGTATCAAAGGAAATTAGATTTTGGGAATTTTTAGTAATTTGTTCAAATTCACATAACTAGTTAGTGGTGGAGCTTCATTTGAAAACTAGACTTTTGTGGCAGAGATCCAATAACTTAGGGCCTGGCACTTCATAGGGTCTTAGAAAATTAGCTACCCTCAGGTAAAGAAACTACTACTCACTGAGACCTCCCTCAGTGTCCTCTGTCTCCCTTCTTACAGTTATTGTAGAATAATGCATCCTAAAAATGGCATGTTGAGGGGCCTCTGTTGTGATGCAGCAAGTTGAGCCAGCAGCTGCGATGCCGACATAGGTTGGAGTGCCAGTGCTGGCTGCTCTGCTTACAATCCAGCTCCCTGCCAGTGTACCTAGGAAAGCAACAGAAGGTAGCCCAAGTGTTTGAGTGTCTGCCACCCACATGGGTGGCTCCTGCTGGGTCCTGTCTTCAGCCTGGCCCAGCCCAAATGTAGCCGCTTTGGGGGGTGAACCAGTGGATGGAGGCTCTCTCTCTTGTCTTTGTCTCCCTCTCTGTAATTCTGCCTCCCAAATAAGTATATTTTAAATACTAATTTAAAAAAATACATTGAAGTGTAAATCAGAATCTAAGTGGAACTGAAAAAATTTTTAAATGACACGCTAAAGTATAAAAAATCTAAGAAGGTGAATTACGCTGAACAAATGACATGGCTTCTGATTAAATGCACCATCTCATTTATAAATTTCTTTCAGTTCTATTCCTCTGTTTTAACAAAATGACCCAAAGTTGAACAGTAAGAAGTGGACGAGCTGAGGTTCAAACCTGAATCACTGGCTTTATTTCTGCGTTCTGCTGTTCTTTGCTGCTACACCTGGTTAAGGAGCTTGGCAGTTACCCTGAAGATAATGGAAAGGCAGAGGAATTTAAAGCAGGGTCCTAACATCAGTTATCAATGCCATAGGCACATGTGCAGTCCAAGTATTTTAACATTCATCCTTGTGTAATGCACACATTGATTTTACTATGTGTCTTGTGCTGTCCAGGCATAAAGTTAGTCTTAGAATGACTTAGAGACATGCCTATCTTTTCATAAAATCCTGGCCTGTTTATTTCCAGAACTCCAGTACTCCCATTGCCAACTCACTGGAAACCTGATCTAAAATGGTAGCAGTAATCCTAGTAAAGAACATGTAGGGGCCAGCATTGTGGTGCAGCAGGTGAAGCAATGGCCAGAGCTGGGCTGATCTGAAACCAGGAGCTTCTTCCGGGTCTCCCACGTGGGTGCAGGGGCCCAAGGACTTGGGCCATCTTCTACTGCTTTCCCAGGCCATAGCAGAGAGCTGGATCAGAAGTGGTGCAGCTAGGTCTTGAACCAGCACCCATATGGGATACTGGCACTGCAGGCTGAGGCTTTGCCTGCTACATCACAGTGCTGGCCCTAATTAAAAAAAAAAAAAATTGGGAGGAAAAAATAAGAACTGGAATCTAAAGGCAAGAGAAAAGTGATAGATTTTGGCTATAAGACGTGCATGTATTTAATGCCACTAAAAATTAAGGTCAGGGCAGGTGTCTGATTCAATGGTTGAGAGACTGCTTGGGACTCCGGCATGTCATTATCAGAGTGCCTGGATTCGAGTCTTGGCTCTGCTTCTGAGGTCAGTTTCCTGCTAATCTCATTCTGGGAGGCAGCAGGTGATGGTTCAAGTACTTGGGTCCCTGCCACCCATGTGGGAGACCAAGATTGAGTGTCCATCTCCTGGCTTCAGCCTACGCCAGCCTTAGTTGCTGTGGGCATTTGGCGAGAGAACTGGCAGTGGAAAGATGAAGATACATAGATACAGATATATAGATATAAGGGCTGGGTCCTGCAGTGTGGCATAATGGGTAAAGCTGCTCTCTGCAGTGGTGCATCCCATGTAGGCACTTGTTTGAATCTCAGCTGCTTCACTTCTGATCCAGCTCTCTACGAATGCACCTGGGAAAACAGCAGAAGATGGCCCAATTCCCTGGACCCCTGCACCCGTGTGGAGACTCAGAAGAAGCTCCTGGCTCCTGGCTTTGGATTGATGTAACACCTTGACAGTAGGGTTCCATTTTGGAGAACCTGAGACTCCATTCTGGGAAGGTGCCCCCCCAACACCGTGAGACCCTGGTCTGAAATTATGATCTAAAACAGTCGGACAATAGCAGTCCACTACATCACACTTGGCAGAGCATAGAAACCCCCTAGCATGATCGCTCAAGCTACACCTGGGTTAATGATAAAAATGTAATTTGTCTATGTCCTACATATGATTAAAACCAATACCTGGATTAATGTCAAGGTTATAATTGGAATTAAGATTGTAACTCGTATTGTCAAGATTATAATTGATACTAGTTTTGCATAGGTTTTAGGTCAGCTTGACCCCAGTGACCATGTATTTGCCCAATCCTAGCAACCATATATTCCCCTCCCGATTTTGTGTTTTTTTTTTTTTTTTTTTTTTTTTTGCCTTTATAAACCCTGTTGCTTTGGGCTTCAGGGTCGAGAGTTCTTTAGGGCATGAGCCCACTCTCCACCGCCAGCAATAAAGGACCATCAGATTTTATCAATGTGTGGTGCCCCTTTGTTTACACTCGCTCAGGTACAACAGGACTGGCTCAGCAGCATCCATTGTGGCCATTTGGGGAGTGAACCAGTGGGTGGAAGATTCCCCCCCACCCCCCGGCCCCATCTCTCTCTCTGGCTCTTTCAAATACAATTAAATATTAAGGCCGGCGCCGCGGCTCACTAGGCTAATCCTCCGCCTTGCGGCGCCGGCATACCGGGTTCTAATCCCGGTCAGGGCGCTGGATTCTGTCCCGGTTGCTCCTCTTCTAGGCCAGCTCTCTGCTGTGGCCCGGGAGTGCAGTGGAGGATGGCCCAAATGCTTGGGCCCTGCACCCCATGGGAGACCACGGTGGCCATTGGAGGGTGAACCAACGGCAAGGGAAGACCTTTCTCTCCGTCTCTCTCACTGTCCACTCTGCCTGTCAAAAAAAAAAAAAATGAATACATTTTATGTACATAAAATTTGACATTCTTTTGGATTCTGTATGGGCCATCTTTGTAACTCTGTACAGAGACTCTAACATAGAGCCCCAGTTTGTCTTTTATAACATAATGGTAGTAACATTTAGGATTTTTAAAATTTATCTTTTTCATTTTGTTTTTAAGATTTATTTATTTGAAAGGCGAGTTAAAAAGAGTGCCTGTTGGTTTACTCCCCAGAAGGCAGAGACTGGGCCAAGCCAAAGGCAGGAGCCTGGAATTTCATCCCGATCTTTCACATGGGTGGCAGAGGCCTAAATAATTGGAACATTTTCTGCTGTTGCATTAGCAGGGAGCTGGATCAGAAATAGAGCAGGCAGGACTCAAACTGGTGCTCATACGGGATAGTGGCATTGCAGGCAGTGGCTTAACATGCTATGCCGCAGTGTTGGTCCCGCCACTTAGGATCTTGGACCCAAGGTGAAATGATCAGATGTGTCTTGGACTAAAAGTGACATCCAGTGGCTCCCTGCTGTGGCAGCTGCCTGTTAGAATCATTGTTTTCAGTCAGACTTGAATAACTGCAGTCACAAGGAAGTCATGCAGATGACGTTAAACTGATAAGTGGGTTTTCCTCTCCTTTTTTCTTTTCCAGAATGCATGATTTAGGGCTGTGGGTGCAAAGCAAAGAACTTAGTAGAGCCATGTTACCCCCAGTCTTCACGCACGAACGTGTACTGAGGGAGTTGTAGCAGAAGGTACTGGAGCACTGCTTGACGTGTTCAGTGTTGTACGTGCACCCTTCCTGTCAACACCAGGTTGTCACTGTTCCTGCCCAGTCATGCTCCTCCCTCGCTACATCCCCATTCCAGAGTTCCCACTCTTACACTGAGCCCAGAGCAGCAAAGTGATCGAATGAAAAAGTTAATCATACAACTTTTCTCTATTTCAGGCTTCTAAATCTGGAAACAGTGCAGGTGGGTGTGGGGTGGATGTTTGGTGCAGTAGTTAAGATGCTGATTGGGATGCCCACAGAACCATTGTGGGGAGCAACTCGGACTAGACTAAGTTACTGGAATTAGGACTTATTCTATGCATCTGCTCTCCCACAATATGGCGCTGGGAGAGGAGTAAAAACAGCTTCTACACAGCTGCCTCCAGTTCAACCAATAGACTGTGGGACCTGCTCCTGATTGGAGGAGAGCAGCGTACTCGGCGTGTGGGTAGCAGAGTTGGGATTGGTGGAAGAGGACTATAAAGGAGGAGAGAGACAACATGCACCAGGAACATCTATCTGAAGGAACACCTGTGCAGCCCCCGAGAGAGCAGGCCGGTGGTGTGCCGCTCCCCCGCGGAAGTGGGGAATGTGGCAGGGGGAACCGCCCTTCCACGGAGGTGGAAGGGTCGGTAGCCAACCCGGGAAGAACCAGCAGCAAACCCGGGGAGGGCCGAGCAGACAAAAGAACAGCGCAGGGTCCTGTGTCGTTCCTCCACGAAGACGGGGAGCGACAACCATAACGGAGTGCCCGGGTTCAAGTACCAGCTCTGCTTCCAGACCCTGGGAGACGGTGAGCTGATACTTTCCAAACAGCCAATGCATGATGTTATAAAATTATGCATAATGAAAGAATTCAGGGGCTAGCATTGTGCATAGCAGGTAAAGCCACTGCCCGCAGTGCCAGCATCCCATAAGGGTGCTGGTTGGAGTACCGGCTGCTCCATTTCCAATTCAGCTCTCTTCTATGGCCTGGGAAAGCAGCAGAAGATGACCCAAGTGCTTGGGCCCCTGCACCGAAATGGGAAACAGGAAGAAGCTCCAGGTTCCTGGCTTCAGATTGGCCCAGTTCCAGCCATTTGGGGAGTGAATCAGTGGACAGAAGACCCCTCCTTCCCCCTCTCCCTCCCCTCCACCCCACGTGCCTCTCTCTTTCAAACACATAAATCATAAATACATAAGTCAATCTTTTTTAAAAAATGCAAAACACAAAAAGACCAATAAATTTTGTTTTATTTATTTGAAAGGCAGAGTTACAGACAGGCAGAGGCAGAACGAGAGCGAGGGGGAGAGGGAGAGGGAGAGGGAGGGGGAGGGGGAGGGAGAGGGAGGGGGAGGGAGAGGGGGAGAGGGAGAGGGAGAGGGAGAGGGAGAGGGAGAGAGAGAGAGAGAGAGAGAGAGAGAGAGAGAGAGGTCTTCCATCCTCTCCTTCACTCTCTGGCCGCAATGGCCGCAGCTGAGCTGATTGGAAGCCAGCAGCTTCTTCCAGGTGTCCCACGCGGGTGCAGGAGCCCAAGGACTTGGGCCATCTTCCACTGCTTTCCCAGGCCACAGCAGAGAGCTGGGTCGGAAGCGGGGCAGCCAGGATTAGAACCGACGCCCAGGCCGGCGCCGCGGCTCACTAGGCTAATCCTCCGCCTAGCGGCGCCGGCACACCGGGTTCTAGTCCCGGTCGGGGCGCCGGATTCTGTCCCGGTTGCCCCTCTTCCAGGCCAGCCCTCTGCTGTGGCCAGGGAGTGCAGTGGAGGATGGCCCAGGTGCTTGGGCCCTGCATCCCATGGGAGACCAGGAAAAGCACCTGGCTCCTGGCTCCTGCCATCGGATCAGTGCGGTGCGCCGGCCGCAGCGCGCCGGCCGCGGCGGCCATTGGAGGGTGAACCAACGGCAAAGGAAGACCTTTCTCTCTGTCTCTCTCTCTCTCACTGTCCACTCTGCCTGGAAAAAAAAAAAAAAAAAAAAAAAAAAAAAAAAAAAAAGAACCGACGCCCAAATGGGATGCCGGCGCTGCAGGCGGCGGCTTCACCTGCTAGCCACAGCGCCGGCCCAGACCGATGAGTTTAAACGGAGTAAGAGTAGAAACAGCCTACCTCTGTGGTCTCACGTTGTACTGTTTCACCGACTTCCACTAAAACAACAGGGCAGCAGATTGGGGGCACAAGCGAAAGAATTCAGCTGGTTTCTGTTACCCCCCAAAATGGGAATCACCAATTTTTTGGGAAAGATTTTTCATTGAAATATTGCTTGTAAAGGATCTTCGGTATCATTGCAGAGTGCATTACGGCCACGTTGGCGATGCAGAGGCTACCGTACTTGTTCCTCAGACCCCTGCGCTACTCTCAAGCATTTTACTATTTCTCTCCAGCGGACAGCCTCGATCTGGCCGAGCCGCGGGCGCCCCCGCACGCCCCCGCACCTCAGCCGCGCCTCCTGGCGCAGAGCCTTCCGGGAGTTGTAGTCCCGTCTGCCGTCGGCTTGCGCTTACGCATTTTCTGTGCGCCCGTCACGAACGACATTGCTCGGCGCGGATGGAGAGAGGTTGGGCCTGCGGGGTCGTCCGCTCCATGTTGGGGTCACCCAGACACCCCAGTCTGGAGGGGGCCGTCCTCGCCCGATCCACAGGCCGTGGCCGAAGGACCCGGGCGAGCGCCGCGGAGTCCGCAGCGAGGACCGAGCCGGCCTGGCGCTTACCCGCCTGGTGGCGGATCCGCGAGGCGAGGGCAGCGGCGCCGTACGGGGTCGGTCCCTGTTGGAGGATCGCGGGAGCCGGCCGCGGCGGGAGCGCGCAGCGCTGATGAGGCCTCTGCCTCCCGCCTCAGGAGGACGCGGCTGATGGGCGTCGGAGCCGAGGACCTCTGTGGCCGCGGCAGGGAATGGGTCTGCGCTGCGGGCGGGGCCGCCAGGCGCACACCACGTGCACGAGGGTCCGGACGGCCTCCGTCTGGGTAAGTCGCAGCCTTCGTGCCGCCGTGGGGCGCGCGGGTCCCGTGGCCTCAGCCTTCCTGGGCGCCGTCAGTCTTGGTCCGGTTGTCGGACTTCATTTCTCCCTTTTCTTTTTTTAAGGGTTATTTGTTTCAAAGGCAGAGTTACAGAGAGGCAGAGAGAGCGCGCGCGTGCGCGAGGTCTTCCATCCGCTGGTTCACTCCCCAGATGACTGCAGCGGCCAGAGCAGGGCTGATCCGGAGCCAGGAGCCAGGAGCTTCTTCCAGGTCTCCACGCCGGCGCAGGGGCCCAAGCACTTGGGCCATCTTCTGCTTTCCCAGGTGCATTAGCAGGGAGCTGGATCGGAAGTGGAGCAGCCGGGACTCGAACCGGCATACGACTGCGCCTCTCCCGTCTCTTTTCTGCCAAGTTTGCATTCTGGACTTTGAATTAAGCAAAGCACAAGCATCTGTCCTCAATTTTTTTTTCCAACCAGTACTTACTGTCTCCTGTGTGTAACATCTTTGAGCCCCACTTGGAAAAATACATGCTTGTTCCATGATTTAATCAACAACATTGTTTATCATGTTCTGTTTGCTGGACCTCGCGTCCGGTCCTAAGTTTAATGATGAATTGGTCATTTTCCTAATAGGTGCTCTAAGAGTGGGCGGCGGTAGTGTATGGTGGACATGGCAGAGGTCAGCTTGGGAAGTGAAGACACCCAACATTCTGAGATATTAAATTTAGGTTGAGGGGGCCAGCGCGGTGGTGCAGTAGGTTAATCCTCCGCCTGCAGTGCCGGCATCCCAAATAGCTGCCAGTTCAACACTCGGCTGTTCCACTTCCAATCCAGCTCTCTGCTGTGGCCTGGGAAAGCAGTAGAAGATGGCCCAAGTGCTTGGGCCCCTGCTCCCACGTGGGAGACCCAGAAGAAGCTCCTGGCTCCTGGCTTCAGATCAGTGCAGCTCTGGCTGTTGCCCAATTGGGGAGTGAACCAGCGGATGGAAGACCTCTCTCTCTCTCTCTCTCTGCCTCTTCTCTCTGTGTAACTCTCTGACTTTTGAATAAATAAAATTAAAGAAAAAGAAGGGTGATATTAAGAAAGGGAGCAGTTGGGGGCTGGCACTGTGGTGTAGTGGGTGAAGCCGCCGCCTGCAGTGCCAGCATCCCATCTGGGCACTGGTTTGAGTCTCGGCTGCTCCACTTCTGATCCAGCTCTGGGAAGGCAGTGGAGGATGGCCCAAGTCCTTGGGGACCTGCACCCGCGTGGGAGACCTGGAGGAAGCTCCCAGCTCCTGGCTTCGGATCTGCTCAGCTCTGGCCATTGCGGTCAAATAGGGAATGAACCAACGGATGGAAGACCTCTCTCTCTGCCTCTCCTTCTCTCTGTAACTCTGACTTTCAAATAAATCTTAAAAAAAAAAAAAAAGCAATGTGACCTACTTAGGATTTTCAGAGACCCTTCTGCCTGAAATGCTGGCATCCCATGTGGCTGTCAGCTCAAGTTTCAGCTGCTCCACCTTCCATCCAGTTCCCTGCTAATGCTCCTGGGAAGGCAGTGGAGGATGGCCCATGTGCTTGGGCCCTGCACCCACATGGGAGACCTGCTGAAGCTCCTGGCTCCTGGCCTTTGCCTGGCTCAGCTCCGGCCGTTGTGGCCATTTGGGAGTGAACCAGCGGATGAAAGGCTTCTCTCTCTGCCTCTGCCTCTCTGTAATTCTGCATTTCAAATAAATAAAATTTTTTTTTTTTTAAAAAGAGGCACTGGAGAGCCGGGGGATATTTAAAGATAGAGTTCTCTTTTCTAAAAACCAGTGTATGCTTTTCATCTTAATGGTTGCCATTTTTTAGAATTGTTTATTTCGTTAAGTGTTTACATATATGTGTGGGATTTTTTTTCCATTTTAACCAAATCTTAGTGCTCAGTGTTTATCTCTGATTTCTGGGCTAAATTTGTACTAGGTGTTAGCACCTGGAAACCTCACAGTAGGCCCTGGCAGTGAGCATCATCATCATTCTTGGATGGTCAGGATACTGAGGCCCGGAGAGGCGAATCGGAGTCCATGTTGCGCTCCTGCTCAGTGCAGAGCCAGGACTTGAATCCGGTTCTACATCCATTTCCCTGTTGTCTCTGGATATGGAATGAGGATTTCTCCTGGGCCTGATGGGTTACCTGTGAAGGTCATTTTTCAGCTCCCTGCACTCAGGACCAAGTAAAAGTGACAAAGCAGGCCCAGGTCAATACCTTGTTGTGTCCACGTGGGGTGTATAGTTGCCCCGTATGAACAAAGAAGGCTCTGAGAGGTCAGCTGCTGTGTTCTAGGGAATAATCTAAATGTCTGTTAACTGGTGAACATTTGAACAGAGTGAAATACTCTTCAGCTGAAAAAGGAGGGAACTATTGATACAGGCTATAATAAGAAAAAACACTAAGCAAAGTGAAGATAGACACAAAAGACTAAATATTGTATGATTCCATTTATGTGTCAAATATACACGTGTATACATATGTGCTGTCCCCCCTTGCCTTACACCAAAGTTAGCTTTTTAAAAAAAGAATTTATTTAACTTATTTGAAAGAGAGAGAGAGAGATCTTCTGTTTCCTTGTCTACTCCCCAGATGTCCACAATAGCCAGGGCTGGGGCAGGCCTAAGCCAGGTGCTACCAAGAACTCCGTTCAGATCTCCTGCCTTGGTGCAGGGACCCAAATCCTTGAGCACAGGGTACGCATTGGTAGGAAGCTGGAATTGGGAGCAGAGCCAGGACTTGCACTCAGACACTCTGATACGGGATGTGGACGTCCCAAGTGGCATCAAACTCACTATGCCAAACAGCCAGCCCCCAAAGCCAGCTCTCTGTCTATCACGCTCTCCTGGTTTTCACCTGCCATTGCCTCCCACCCTACCCAGGTCTCATTTTCTCTGAGTGACTGTGTGATAGGGCATTGTGTGGATGGACCATGGTTTACTTAGCCAGTTTTCTTGTTGCAAGTGTCTGGGTTATAAAAAATGCCTCTGTGAACAACCTTTTCATGTGCCATTTCATTCATTATTTTATCTTTCCCTTGAATTTTTAATTTTTTCCTTAGGCTTTCTCCACTTTTTACCTGTGTTCTCTAGCTTGTGTGGCCCTTTTCTATGTTTCTGCTAATTCAATCTTCATTTCTGAATTTTTTTTTCTACTTCATTTCTGAATTCTGGTTATTTCTTATTTCACATTCTCCAGTTGTATAGGTGTCTGCTTTGTAGTCTCTTTTATTTATCATATATTTGTCCTTTCAAAGTTTTGTTTCTCTAATTTCTTTAGTTCATTTTGACATATTAGGTTACAGTTTGTGTATGTGTGTGTATGTGTGGCCAGGTATTTTGTATTGTTTATTAAAACCTCATTTGGTTTTTACCCCCTTAGCACTGTTGCATGGGGCTTTTTATGGTTTTAGAATTTTCTGTTTGGGGCTGGGACAAGCTTGGGATATCTTTCTCTGCCATCACTGTTGGGGTTCCTGCCACTGTTGTTAGCATGAAAGGCTGAAATCACGGCCTGTTCAGCCTCATCAGGAAGCCTTTTTTCTGCCTGTGAGCCTCTGTTTCCTGGAGTCCAACAAGCTTTGTTTTCTAATGTTTTCCTCATGTTTGCATGTTTTATTTTGTGAAAATTAGCTCTGGGATGAACTCCTCTGGATGCTTCGTTCTTGTTATCTAAGCCTTCTCGCTCCACTCCCTCATTCTAATAGCGATTTTCTCCTATTTTCCTCTGCTTTTCTGTTCCTCTGTATCCCTCTCTCTTACCTCTCGCTGCCCCTACATCTTCTCTCTTGTGCTGATCAGTTTGCTTTCTATGTCCAGCAGCTTTCCCTCAGAGTGAGAATCTGTGTTTCTGGAAAGATCTGTTTGCTGATTGTTTCTCAGTATCTGGTGGTCTCAGATGGCCACAGACAGCAGACTCAGAAGTGAAATGAATTGTTCCAGACATCTGGATGTCAAGAGTTGAGATGTCATTGCATTCCAAATTTCATACTGGTGTGCATCATCTCATTGAAGTGGCTGCCAGGGCTTGTTTAAACATCAGGTGAATTTTCCGGGTTCCCGGGGGCCTGTGCAGAGTTTGGGTGGGACTGTCATTCATTTGCCAGGCTTCATCTTTTATCCTGCAGTGGCACCAGCCACACCACAGAACACCCAGCTCAGGCTCCCTGTGCGCGATTCACCAGCCAGAGACTGGATGTGCACGCGTGAAATTACGCTTGCTCTTGAGTCCACAGGTCCCACCTCTCCAGGAACAAGGTGCTTTGTGTGATCGGATCAGAAAACTGCAAGGTCAAGAGTGCATCCTGGGCAGAGGGACCTCTGGCCGGAAACCCTTTCCTGGGGTCCCCAGGGAGAGGCAGCAAAGTCACACAACAGAGCAAGTCCTAGAATGGTTGTTTGTTTCCCAAGAACAGCTGAAAATCAACAAGTCCTGGGTGAGTTCCTTGTGAGTTTATTCCCATTTTTTTCTTTTTTCTTTTCTTGGTTTAATAATTTGACAAGTAGTGACTTGGTTTTTACATTTAAGAGTCAAAGACAGAATTCTAACCCTAACCCTAACCCTAGACAGAATTGTTACTAATGAGGATTTATCTGTGGTGACAGTTTTATTTTTAGAGTGTGTAATATAAGATACATACATTTGAGAGGCCATAAGAAGATGAAATTTAAGACACATAAATATATTTCAACAGGAGTTCAGGCAGGGGCTGGCATTGTAGAGTAGCAGGTTAAGCTACCACTCCAGCTTCTCCGCTTCCGATCTGCCTCCCTGCTGATGCTCCAGAAGGTGGCCCACGTACTTGGGCCCCTGCCACCCTGTAGAACAGCTGAATGGAGTTCCTGGTTTCAGCCTGGCCCACCTCTGGCTTTCAATGGATGGAAGATATTCTCTCTCATCCTCTCTCTCTCTCTCTCTCTGTGCATGCGCGTGCACGCGCGCCTTTCCTTTTTTAAAAAAATGGTCAAAAAATAATATTCAACATTCTATTCTGAGATGAAACTACTCCAATAACAAACTAATGGATTTTGACATACTCCTTCGGATAAGATCCATGAAAACTATGAAATATAAAATAATTATCTTTTTTGTTACGTTCAACTCTAGTTTTCAAGGTCTAGTATAAAAGATGGCCTGAATAAAAAAGTATCTAAAAGCAGTTAAGTGTCAACTCATAGTACTACTCAGGTTACCACTCAGGAGATTCCTACCCCTGTCAACAGAATTCTTGCAGGGAGGAAACCTACGTGTCTTTTTTTTTTTTTTTTAATAAGGATTTATTTCATTTATTTGCAAGTCAGAGTTACCCAGAGAGAGAAGGAGAGGCAGAGAGAGAGAGAGGTCTTCCATCCACTGGTTCAATCCCCAGATGGCCACAATGGCCAGAGCTGCGCTGATCCGAAGCCAGGAGCCAGGAGCTTCTTCCAGGTCTCCCACATGGGTGCAGAGGCCCAAGGACTTGGACCATCTTCCACTGCTTTCCCAGGCCATAGCAGAGAGCTGGATCGGAAGTGGAGCAGCCAGGACTTGAACCGGTGCCCATATGGGATGCCGGCACTGCAGCCGGTGGCTTTACCTGCTACGCCACAGCGCTGCCCCCACTACATGTCTTGAACAAAAAATAAACCCTTCCCCTTAACACCTGTGTAGAAAGACTTGTCAGTTACTGTCAAGATTGTCTTTAATGGAAAACATCTTAAATTTAGAAAAAGAGGCATCAAAGCAAGACACAAGAATGTTATCACCCTGCCCAGGTGAATGGGTATTTGGGATGAAGCCAACGGGAGATGTGCTACTCGGAGTGGGAGGGAGTGTGGAAGGGAGCTGGACTCAGGTCCCAAAGCTGCAGGGTGTGTGTGTGCTTCTTCATATCTGGTCAGTTGGTTCTCTGCATTCTGCTGGCAACAGCATTAACAAAAAGACACAAATCTAAAAGATAGTTCTTAAGCAGGAAATGGTAGCTATACTGTATAAGTATCTTTTCATATGCTTGTTATTTATGCTAAAGCTCTGGCAGTGGTCAGAAATGGTCAACGATTACGTGCCCTTTTACAAGTTTTTTTTTTATGTATTTTATTTATTTGAAAGGCAGAGAAAGACAGATCTCCCATCTGCTGATTTACTCACCAAAAGCCCACAACAGCTGGGGCCAGGCTAGGCAAAAACCAGGAGCCAGGAACTCCATCCAGGTCTCCCATGGCAGGGACACAGCTCCTTGAGCTGTCACTGCTGTCTCCCAGGGCCTGCATTCGGAAGCTGGATCTGGGACTCACACCCAGGCACTCCAGTAGGAAATGTGGGCAGGCCAGCAACATCCTCACTGCTATCCCAAGCACCCATGCCAGTGCTCCAAGTTTTAATGCGCCTTCTGTTGCATTGGTTGCTTCTCTAGTGCCGTCTCACAGATTGTGCTTGGTGCTGCCAGTGTAGCACGGACTCCTTCCTCCTTTGTGGCAGTGTTCTGTTCTGTTATCCTATCTTCTTTGATTCCCATGTCTTTAATTCTGTTTGTCTATACAATGCTGACGTTTTCTTAAAGATAGGACCATATCTCATCTACACCCAGTTGAAAATCCTGGTACCTAAAGGTCAGTACTGTGTGTCCAGGGTCATCAATTGGCCTTCTTTGCCTACGACTGACTTGCTTTTCTGTTTTAGTTTTTTTTCCCCTTTTTTAAAGATTTAGTTTATTTGAAAGTCAGAGTTACAGAAAGAGAGAGAGAATCTTCCAAATGGTCACAGTGGCCAGGGCTGGGGCTGTGTCAAAGCCAGGAGCTTCTTCCAGGTCTCCCATGTGGGATCAGGGGCCCAGACACTTGACCATCTTGTGCTGCTTTTACCAGGCCATTAGCAGAGAGCTGGATGGCAGGTGGAGCAGCTGAGACTCAAACCAGCGCCCAGATGGGATCCTGGCATTGCAGGCGGCAGCTTTACCCGCTGCACCACAATGCTGGCCCCAGCTGCCCTTCCTTTATCACTGAAGGTTCTCTGTTCAGGACTCCTGTGTAGATGGTCCCAAGTCAGCTTAAAACCGTCTTTATTTATTTATTTTTTTTAAAGATTGATTTATTTATTTAAATGCAGAGTGACAGAGAGGAGAAAGAATGTTCCATCCACTGATTTACTCCCGAAATAACTGCAATAGCCAGAGCCTGGTTGAAGCCAGGAACCTGGAACTCTGTCTGAATCTCCCACATGGGTGGCAAGGAGCCCAAGTACTTGAGCCATCCTCTGCTGCCTTCCTAGGTGCATTAGCAGGGAGCTGGGTCAGAAGTAGAGCAACTGTGACTCGAACCACCATCCAGTATGATGGTGGCTTAACATACTACACCACAACACCTGCCCCAGCTCAGAACTTTACAGAGAGGCTATCCCAATTCCCATGTTGAAAGAAGAGATGACTGGGGCCTGTGCTGTGGCATACATAGCTGGTAAAGCCACCACCTGCAATGTGGACATCCCATATGGGCACTGGTTCAAGTCCCAGCTACTCCACCTCAGATCCAGCTCTCTGCTATGGCCTGGGAAAGCAGTAGAAGATGGCCCAAGTCCTTGGGCCCCTGTACCTGTGTGGGAGACCTGTATGAAGCTCCTGGCTCCTGGCTTCGGACTGGCACAGCTCTGGCCATTGCAGCCAGTTGGGGAGTGGACCAGTGGATGGAAGACCTCTTTCTCTCTCTGCCTTTCCTTCTCTCTGTGTAACTCTGACTTTCAAATAAATAAAATAAATCTTTAAAAAAAAAGAGAGAGAAGCGATGACTGCTATGAATGTTTTCAATACAGTCTTTGTTTTTCCTTATTAAAGATTATTTATGTAAATGATCAATACCCTAGATAGCATATTGTTTTCTATGAACTCAGTAAAAGAACTTGAGATTGGATGAGAATATTTTATTTCAGGGACCATTGTCATTGTGGCTGTGTTTGTGGGTTTTACCTGGGAGGAGGAGAAGTTGCTGGACCCCGCTCAGAAGCACCTGTGAGGGAGTGTGATGCTGGAGAACTATAGCCTCCTGGTGTCACTAGGTAAGTGCCACATCCCTGAGGAGGAGTGTGCATGATGTTTAGGCTACACCCCATCCCCCCAACCCTTGGCCTTCGTTATGAAAGCTGGGGTTCTTCCATAAAATACTTTGGGATTTGGGGCTTAAATTTAAAGGCCACAGTTTCTGGTTCGTGTGGGTTTTTTTTTATGTATTTGGGTCCACATACTTAGGCTATCATCTGCTAGTTTTCCAGACACATTAGCAGGAAGCTGGATTGGAAGTGGAGCAGACAGGACTTGAACTGGCATTCATATGGGATTAACCCACTGTGCCACAACACCAGCCCCAGGACACATTTCTTAGTCCTCTGTTGACATCAGAATACTCCAGTTGATTGGTCTTTACTATGCCAGAGTACAAAAGGGAAGCTTCAGCATGCTATCTCTAAGCTAGATCTTTCTCAGTCCTCAGAGTCCCTGAATCCCAAGTAGTTTAGTCTTGGTCGTCTGTGATTTTCTCTTTTTAGGTTATCAACATGCCATAGCCAATGTCATCTTGCAGCTGGAACGAGGAGAAGACCTGTGGATGATGCAGCCCAGATCCCAAGTCCGGGCATCCAGGTGAGGGTTAGCGACGTTGAGGTCTTTCCCCTAATTCAGAATCAGTGTGCCTTCTTTGCACTTTCTTGATCTCATTTAGAATCTCACCACCTCCCCTTTTCCTCTCAGTTTCCTTTTTACTTTCTTGGCAGTGAGCTCATTTCATTATTCATTTAACCAAGTTTTTCTTCTTTCTCTCACCTTAATTGACTTTCTTTTTCTTAAAATTGTACTGTTAAATCCCTTCCACTTAAATTCCACAACTACAGTCCCAACTTCCTTCCTTCTTTTTGATATTTGTTAGGGATTGTACGTCTTCCGTGCTAAGTGTGTTCATGTCTTCATTTTGTCCCTTAAACACATTCTCGTGCCGTTTCGTGATGTCCTTGACCCAGCCTGAACCCCCTGCCCTCTCTCACGTGTGTGACCCAGGAACCTGCCTCACACTGTGCCACGTGGTGATGATTTCCCTCGTGCTCTCCTGGCTTCTCTTTGTCTTCCTTCTGAGTCCGAGGGGTCTTTGTTGAAATAGAGATATCCTGAAAAAGATCTTCTATCCATTGGATCACTCTGCAGATCCCTGTAACAGTTAGGGCTGGGCCAGTATGATGCCAGGAGCCAGGAATCCCACGTGGGTGGCAGAAGCCCAAGTACTTTGGCCATCACCTGCTGCATTCGCAGGACAGTGTAACCAGACTCAGGCCAGGCACTCCATCTGTGAGCTGCCAGCATCTGAGTGGCAACTAAATTGTTATACCAAACATTGCTTTGTTTTTTTATATTCATCATTGTTTTTGTATTTACATTGTTTTTATATTCACCATTTTCTTCATATATTGTATCTGTAAAAAACAAATTTTTAAAAAAGGGTTAAAAAAGTATATGTTTGAGAGACAGAGAAACAGACAAGGGCTGACGCTAGGACATAGCCACTACCTGCAATGCCGGTATCCAGTATGGGCGCCGATTCATGTCCTGGCTGCTCCACTTCCAATCCAGAAAGAGTAGTGGTGTTTGGGCCCCTCCCTGTACCCATGTGGGAGACCTGGATGAAGCTCCTGACTCCTGGCTTTGGCGTGGTATAGCTCTGGCCACTGTAGCCATTTTGGGAGTGAACCAGTCGATGGAAGATCTCTTCCCCACCTCTCTCTCTGTAACTGACTTCAAATAAATAAATAAATCTAAAGACAAACAAACAGACCGAATTCTCATCTGCTGGTTCATTCCCTGAATGCCTGCAATGGCTGGGCTGGAGCTAGGCTGGAGCCAGAGCCAGGAGCAAGGAACTCAGTCTGAGCTGTGGGGAGCAACTGGGAGCAACTCGGACTAGACTAAGTTACTGGAATTAAGACTTATTCTATGCATCTGCTTTCCCACAATATGGCGCTGAGAAGGGAAACAGCTTCTACACAGCTGCCTCCAGTTCAACCAATAAACTGTGGGACCTGCTCCTGATTGGAGGAGAGCAGCATACTCGGCGTGTGGGTAGCAGAGTTGGGATTGGTGGAAGAGGACTATAAAGGAGGAGAGAGACAACATGCACCAGGAACATCTAAGGGGAACCTCCGAAGGAACACCTGAGCAGCCCCCGAGAGAGCCGGCCGGCGGTGTGCCGCTCCCCCGCGGAAGTGGGGAATGTGGCAGGGGGAACCGCCCTTCCACGGAGGTGGAAGGGACAGTAGCCAACCCGGGAAGAACCAGCAGCAAACCCGGGGAGGGCCGAGCAGACAAAAGAACAGCGCAGGGTCCTGTGTCGTTCCTCCATGAAGAGGGGGAGCGACATAATGGTGCCGTGACTCGGATATGAAGCCTAGGCAGGGCTTAGTGTCGTTCCTCCACGAAGAGGGGGAGCGACACTGAGCCTCCCACGTGGGACAGGAACTCAGTTACTTGAGCCCATCACTGCTGCTTCCCAGGGTCTGCATTGGCAGGAAACTAGAATCAGGAGTTGGAGCTGGAATTGAACTCAGGTATTCCTGTGTAGGCATGTAAACCACTAAGGTAACCATCCACTCCACATGGGGTAACTTTTCAGAAACTTTAGTTACTTTTTTAAAAAATTTTAAATTAATTAATTTGTTTGAAAGGCGGGCTTAGAGAGAGAGAGGGAGATCTTCCATTGGTGGTTCACACCCCAAATGGCCATCACGTCCAGAGCTGCGCCAGGCTGAAACCAAGAGCCCAGGACTTTCCTTCTGCGTAGGTGCAGGGGCCCAGGAACTTGGGCCACATTCTGCTACTTTCTCAAGTGCATCAGCTGGGAGCTAGATTGGCAGCAGAGCAGCCAGGATTTGAACCAGCACCCATATGGATGCTGGCATTACAGACTGTGGCTTAACCTGCTGTGCCACAATGACGGCTGCCCGAAGCTTTTTATTTGTTAAAGAGGCCGGCATTGTGGTGCTGCAAGCTAAGCTGCCTCCTGCAATGCCTGTCTCCCATGTTAGAGCGCCAGTTTGTGTCCCCACTGCTCCACTTTCAATCCAGCTCTCTGCTAATGTGCCTGGGAAAGCAGCAGAGGATGGCCCAGGTATGTGAGCCTCTGCCACCCACATGGAAGACAATGCATGGAGCTCTGGGATCCTTCAGCCTGGACCAGCTCCAGCTGTTGTGGCCATTTGGGGTTTCTGTCTCTCCCCTTCAAATAAGCCAACTTTTTTTTTCTCAAGACTTTTTTTTTCTTTTTTTAAATTATGTATCTATTTGAAAAGCAGAGTGAGAGAGAGAAGGACAGACAAAGGTCTTTCATCTGCTGGTTTGCTTCTCAAATGGCCACAACAGCCAGGGCTGGGCAAGACTGAAGTCAGGAGCCAGAACTCCATCTGGTTTCCCACAGGGTGGCAGGAACTCAAGGACTTGAGCCATGGCCTGCTGCTTTCCAGACACATTAGCAGGGAACTGGAGGGGAAGTGGAGTAGCTGGGACTTGAACCAGCACTCCTTTATGGGATATAGGCATCTGAAGCAGCAGCTTCACCTGTTGTACAACAGTGCTGGCCCCAAAAGACTTTAGTTCATTTGAGCTTCTGCAATGTGGGTAATTTGTGAAGAACAGAAATATATTTCTCTTGGTTTTGGAGGCCGAGAGGTTCATTATCAGGCAAGTTTGGTGTCTGATGAGAGACTGCCCTCTGCTTCCAAGATGGCACCTTAATGGCTGATTTCTCGGTAGGGAAAAGAAAGAATGGCAAAAAGGACCTAAACTAGTTGTTCCAGCCCTTTTATAAGGCACCACTCCATGAGGACAGGTACCTTATGACTTAATTCTTTTCACAAGGACTTTTAATACTTCCACAATGGGGATTATACTTCAATGTGAATTTTTTATTTTTATTTTTTTGACAGGCAGAATGGCAATGAGAGAGAGAGACAGAGAGAAAGGTCTTCCCTTACTGTTGGTTCACTCTCCAGTGGCCGCTGCGGCCAGCGCGCTGCTGCCGGCGCACCGCGCTGATCTGAAGCCAGGAGCCAGGTGCTTCCTCCTGGTCTCCCATGGGGTGCAGGGCCCAAGCACTTGGGCCATCCTCCACTGCACTCCCTGGCCACAGCAGAGAGCTGGCCTGGAAGAGGGGCAACCGGGACAGAATCCGGCACCCTGACCGGGACTAGAACCCTGTGTGCTGGCACCGCAGGCGGAGGATTAGCCTAGTGAGCCGCAGCGCCGGCCTTCAATGTGAATTTTGAAGGGAACACAATCAAGCCATAGCAACTTCCATCTTGAAAATTTAAGCTCTTTTTCTTCTAGTGGAATTGATAGCCACACCCATTTCTTATCTGCCTTTTTTGGTCCTAGGTTTGATTGGTACACCAGAATCTTCCCTGCATGGGCACTGTCTGGCCTCGTTTTCAGAAACTGGAATCTTCTTTCCTACTGCACTGTCTCCACTGCCTTGTCACCTTTCTCATGCTCGTTCTACTCTTCTCAGTTCTTCTTCATACACTTGGTTCTCCTTTACAATGCAGTACCCTTTCCTAGTCTTGCTAGTTTTATTTATTTATTTTTATTGATTGATTTTTAAAGATTTATGTATTTATTTGAAAGTCAGAGTTACACAGAGAGAGGAGAAAAAGAGAGAAAAGAGAGAGAGGTCTTCCATCCAATGGTTCACTCCCAAATTGGCTGCAACGGCCAGAGCTGTGCTATTTATTTATTTTTTAAAAGTTTATTTATTTATTTATTTGAAAGTCTGAGTTACACAGAGAGAGGAGAGGCAGAGAGATAGAGAGAGAGAGAGATCTTGCATCCGATGGTTCACTCCCCAGATGGCCGCAATGGGCGGAGCTGCACAGATCTGAAGCCAGGAGCCAGGAGCTTCTTCCAGGTCTTCCACGTGGGTGCAGGGCCCTAAGCACTTGGGCCATCTTCCACTGATTTCCCAGGCACATTAGCAGAGAGCTGGATCAGAAGAGCAGCCAGGACATGAGCTGGCACCCATATGGGAATCTGGTGCCACAGATGGATATGCCACAGCACCAGCCCCACCTGTTTGGTTTTTGTTTTTCTTTGTTTTCTCCAGTTTCCAGTAGTTTGGATACATTCACACTTTTTTTTTTAACGTTCAGATCTAATATCTGAAACTATCTGAAAAACCTCATGACATTCAATTTAAGTTAATATTTAAGTTGTGCTAGTATCACATTATGATTTATAACATGGAATTATGTTCATTTCTAGACGAAGCCTGGGAAATTGATGAACATTTGGAAAATCAGGACAAACTGAGAAGTGTGGCAAAAAGCCTTGAATGTACTGCATTTGGAAAACTATGTTCTAGTACAGATTACATTTATTCAAGACAAAATCCTCACAAAAGTGGGCTTAATAAAAAGTTTGAAAGATAATATAGATTTCACTGCTAATTATGATGGGAAGAATGCTAATGGGTTTCCTGTACATGGAGAATCATTCTCCCATTCTAAACACGAGCAGACTTTTATTGGAATAAAATACTGTGAAAGTAATGGATCTGGGAGAACTGTCAATAAGAAGTCACAACTTACATGCCAACACATGTTTAGGGGAGAAAAGCTCTTGGACTGCAGTTACTGCAAGAAAGCATTCGGCAGCAAGTCACGCCTTCCGGTGCGTCAGCAAGCTCACAGGCAGGAGAATCCCTGTGACTGCTGTGAGTGTGGGAAAGTCTGCAGCAGGCGAGATCAGCTCCTTTCACACCAGAGAACTCACCTGGGACAGAAGTCCTGTGGGTGTGATGAATGTGGAAAAGCTTTTGATTTGAAATCACAGCTTATTATACATCAAATAATTCATTCAGGAGAAAAACCATATGAGTGTTGTGAGTGTTGGAAGGCCTTCAGTACAAAGTCAAACCTTATGGTACATCAAAGAACCCATACAAGGGAGAAACCATATAGTTGTGGTGAGTGTGGAAAAGCCTTTATGTTCAAGTCACAGCTTATTGTACACCAGGGTGTTCATACAGGAGTAAAGCCCTATGCGTGTCTTCAGTGTGGAAAAGCATTCAGTGTGAAGTCACAGCTTGTTATACATCAGAGAAGTCACACCGGGGACACACCCTATGTGTGCAGCGAGTGCAGCAAAGCCTTCAGGAGCAAGTCATACCTCGTTGTACATAGAAGACTCAAACGGGAGAGAAGCTTCACGAATGCAGTGATTGTGGGAAAGTCTTTGGTTTTAATTCACAACTTGTTACACATCGGAGGATTCACACAGGAGAGAACCCCTATGAATGCCACGAATGTGGGAGTGCGTTCAGACGTAAATACCAGCTCATCTCACATCAGAGAACTCATGCAGGGGAAAGGCCTTATGAATGTAGTGCCTGTGGGATAACTTTTGGTTTGAAATCACAGCTTGCTGTACATCAGAGAACTCATACAGGAGGGAACCGGATGGGTGTAATGAATGTCAGAAGGCCTTTAATACCAAGTCAAACCTTAGTGTACACCAAAGAACTCATACGGGGAGAAACGATATGGTTGCATTCCGTGTGGAAATGCCTTTACATTCAAGTCGCAGCTCATCGTGCATCAGGGAGCTCACACTGGAGTAAAGCCCTATGGATGCAGTCAGTGTGGAAAGCCTTTAGTTGAAGTCTCAGCTCGTCGTCCATCAGAGAAGTCACACGGGAGAAACCATATGATGCAGCGAATGTGGAAAGGCCCTCAGGAGCAAGTCCTGCCTCATCATACCTAAGAGAATGCACATGGGAGAGAAACCACACGGATGCAGTGAGTGTGGGAAATCCTTCCGTTTCAATTCACAACTCACTGTGCATCAGAGAACGCACACAGGAGAGAATCCCTGTGAATGCAATGGATGTGGGAACGCCTTTAATAGGAAAGACCAGCTCATTTCACATCAGCGAACTCATGCAGGAGAAAAACCTTTCGGGTGCAGTGAATGCGGAAAAGCCTTTAGCAGCAGGTTCTACCTCATCGTACACATGAGAACACACTCGGGGGAGAAACCGCACGAATGCAGTCAGTGTGGGAAGACCTTCATTTGGAGGTCACTACTCGTTGTCCATGAGTGAACTCATACAGGGGAAAACCTTTATAAGTGCAGTCACTGTGAGAAGCCATTCAGTGGGAAACTACAGCTCCTTGTACACCAGAGGACACACATGAGGGAGAAACCCCATGGATGCAGTGAGTGCCAAAAAGCCTTCCTTAGGAAATGTCAGCTCATTGTACATCAGAGAACTCATTCAGGAGAGAAACCCTATGGATGTAACGAATGTGGAAAACTCTTTTCTCAGAAATCAATCCTTAGTGCAAACCAGAGAACACACACAGGAGAGACCCTGTAAATGCACTGAATGCGGTGAAGCCTTTTGTTGGAAATCACAGCTCATTATGCGTCAGAAGACTCATGCAGATGAGAAACACATTGAGGACTCACATGTTAAGAACTTCCTCTCGCAAGTCGTGTCACAGAAGATGCAAGCAAGATAGTGTGAAAGAGAAACTGGAGCTGGAATCACTGCACACTGAACAGAATACAGAGGCATTCGCAGCTGGTGTTTACATACTCACGGGCACACACTCAAAGCAGAAAGTAGAGGAGCTCTGAATTCAGCCTCCATATGAAAGCTTCAGCCAGCAACAAGTCACACTTTTTAAAAACAGTTATAGAAGTGAGGAAACATCTGAGTGTAATGGATGTTGGTCATTTTATTAATTACATAAAAATAACAAAGAGGAAACCATGGGGTAAATGAAGATATAATTTACTCCTTTGAAATTCATGATTTATTAAACGTTAGGATTTTACTGAGAGCCAGTAAATGGCAGGATTATCAAAAGTGTTAATTTTTTAAAAAGATTTTATTTGAGAGGTAGAGTTACAGACAGAGGGAGAGACAGAGAAAGGTCTTCCATCTGTTGGTTCACTCCACAGATGGCTGCAGCTACCAGAACTGGGCTGATCCGAAGCTGGAAGCCAGGAGCTTCTTCTGGGTCTCCCTCAGGGATGCAGGAGCCCAAGCACTTGGACCACCTTCCACTCCTTCCCCAGGTGCATTAGCATGGAGCTGGATGGGAAGTGGAGCCGCTGGAACCTAAATGGTACCCATGTGGGGTGCGGGTGCCACAGGTGGCGGCTTTACCCACTATACCACAGTGCCGGCCTCTTGTTAACATTTTTTTACAGAAGCTCATATCTTAGACGACCCATGTTTATATTATGGAAATTCTAAAAATGACAGACTTCCGGCCGGCGCCGCAGCTCACTAGGCTAATCCTCCACCTAGCGGCGCCGGCACACCAGGTTCTAGTCCCGGTCGGGGCGCCGGATTCTGTCCTGGTTGCCCCTCTTCCAGGCCAGCTGTCTGCTGTGGCCAGGGAGTGCAGTGGAGGATGGCCCAGGTGCTTGGGCCCTGCACCCCATGGGAGACCAGGATAAGTACCTGGCTCCTGCCATCGGATCAGCGCGGAGCGCCGGCCTCAGCGCGCCGGCCGCGGCGGCCATTGGAGGGTGAACCAACGGCAAAGGAAGACCTTTCTCTCTGTCTCTCTCTCTCACTGTCCACTCTGCCTGTCCAAAAAAAAAAAAAAAGACTTCCATGGGGAGGAAAAATAGTATATGGATGGTCTGTGAATAAATTAAGTAATAGTAGAAAGAGTCACTCCGTAAAGTATCACAAGGTTTACTCTAAAAATATGTATTATTGTAATTGGAAAATTTCCCTCAAAAATTTCTTTTAGAAATTATTTTAAGATTTTATTTATTTGAAAGGAGTTAGAGGGAAGGAGAGACAGAGAAAGGTCTTCCGTTCATTGATTCTCCAAATGGCTGCAACAGCTGGAGCGGAGCCAATCCGAATCCAGGAGCTTCTTCTGGGTCTCCCACGTAGCTGCAGGGGTCCAAGCACTTGGGCCACTGCACTGCTTTCCCAGGTGGTAGCAGAGAGTTGGAAGAGGAGCAACCCGAACACGAACCAGCACCTATGTGGGATGTCAGCACCACAGGCAGAGGCTTAGCCCACTGTGCCACAGCATAGGCCGCATCGGAAGTATTTTACGGGAAATTCTGTTCCAAATTTCCAGAAAAACATTGGAGAAAAAATTAAATGGTAATAGAGTGTAATTCTGTTTTTTAGTGTGAAAAAAATATGATCAGGGTACCAAGAAATAAGTCCTAAGACAGGGATATTTAGATAGCCTTGTGTGTACTATATTGTGAATTTTATACAGTTTGGCATTCTGTTGTGAGTGCCATAGGTGGAAGGCTAATTAGATAACAAATTATCCTCCCCTAGGGATTTCCATCCTGCATAATAACATTTTTTTTTTTCCTAACATTTTTAATGCAATTTTATGGCTTATTAAAAGTGATTTAAGTACTAATTACCAACATTTTTGCTATTATTTTCTGTCCTCTGTAAGGGGTCCTGTGACAGCCACCTTGTTTGTTACAGAAATAAACATAGTGCACAGTTCATGTGTTTGTATACCCTGGAATCTGTTCAGCCCTCAGTAGTTAGATTATCTTGGTTTCCATTAAGAGAACTGACCCCCATGGTGTGTCGTCATCACAAGATGTGCTGCCAGGGACTTGGCATGTTCACTGAGGTCAGCCGACAGGTGCTTTGGGCTTTAACTTTTTTTTTTATTTTTTATTTTTTTTTTATTTTTGACAGGCAGAGTGGACAGTGAGAGAGAGAGACAGAGAGAGAAAGGTCTTCCTTTGCCGTTGGTTCACCCTCCAATGGCCGCCGCTGCAGCCGGCGCACCGCGCTGATCCGATGGCAGGAGCCAGGAGCCAGGTGCTTTTCCTGGTCTCCCATCGGGTGCAGGGCCCAAGCACCTGGGCCATCCTCCACTGCACTCCCTGGCCATAGCAGAGAGCTGGCCTGGAAGAGGGGCAACCGGGACAGAATCCGGCGCCCCGACCGGGACTAGAACCCGGTGTGCCGGCGCCGCAAGGTGGAGGATTAGCCTATTGAGCCACGGCGCCGGCCCTGGGCTTTAACTTTTTACTGGACTACTCAAGTACAGAAAAGCAAAGCTTTTTTTCTGTGGTAGCATCTTGATGTGATTATTAGTATTTAGTTCTTTCTGTATAGATTTTCCAAAACCACTGTAGTTATTGTCTTTTTCTTAACCTAGTTCATTTATCTTTTTCTTAACCTAGTTCATTTATTTATTTTTCTTAAGATTTAGTTATTTGATAGACAGAGAGGCAGAGGCAGAGAGAATGATCGTCCATCCATTGGTTCACTCCCCAAATGGCTGCAATGGCCAGAACTGTGCCGATCCAAAGCCATGAGCCAGGAGCAGCTTCTGGGTCTCCCATGCGGGTGCAGGGGCCCAAGGACTTGGGACATCTTCTGCTTTCCTAGGCCATAGCAAAGAGTTGGATGAGAAGTAAAGCAGTCAGGACTCGAACTAGTGCCCTTATGGGACGCCGGCACAGCTTTATGTGCTGTGCCACAGTGCTTTTAGTTTGAGTTATTTGGTATCCTTTTAGCTCATTCCTTAAATTGTGTTTTTCTACTGCCTACAGCTTAGTAACTTGGGTTGCTTCAGAAAGGGGTGCTAGAGAGTGAGGCGTAGGCAGACGCTTGCCATGATATGTAGATACTTGGAAATGTTTGCCCAGACAGGATGGAGGATTTTCAGGTCTCCTTACTTCATGGCAGGGAGTTGACCCATGATACGACATATAACGGATTGTTAGATCCTATGGCCACCTGAGGCTCAGGAGGTGGGATAGTTGCTACCATTGAAAAAATTTTAGGAGGAATGCTGGACTGCTCAAAGGGGAGCTGCTTTTTGTCTTTTTAATTTGCAAGGCAGAGTGACAGATCTTTCTCGTGCTGGTCCATTCCCCAAGTGGCCAGGGCTGGGCTGGGCAGGATCCAGGAGCTCCATCTAGGTCCACCACATGGGTGCGTGGGCCCAGGAATTTAGGCCGTCCTCTGCTGCCGTCCCAGGCACATTAGCAGAGACATGGATTGGAAGTGGAGCAGCCAGGACTCAAACTGGTGCCCATATGGGATGCCGACATCACAGACGGTGGCTTAACCTGCTGCACCACCGTGCCAGCCTCAAGAGAAAGTCTATATTTGGTTTACTGCTACCCAGGATTAGATTTCAGTTTTTTGTATCATCAAATACAAATGCAGCCTTGCCTGGTGGGAGCCAGAAATGTTGGCATAATGACAAGGCTAGCAACCATACTGTCCTTTCCAGAATGCTGCCCAGGGAGGCATTCCCCCAAAGACTAGCTCTTTAATTCTGTGACCCCATGGGAAGGGACCAAAGGATGGGTCCCCAACAGCTACAATACTTTAACATGCAGATGGATACTTAACAAATCTGAGAGGTTCAGGATCCAGGATCATCAGGATGCCCTCTTGGGGCAAGGACTGCCTCAGGAGAGCCCCCAGGATGAAGGTCATTCCACAGAGGGAGGCGGAGGTTCTTCGGAGGCCAGCCTAGGTGGGCTTTGAGCTGTCTCTGTTAGAATAAATATATATCCCATCCCCTGGCTAATTCCACAGTGAGGGAAGGCGCAAAGATTCCTGGGAATTTCCTGCAAATGGAAATAAGGGGAAACACACCAGAGTTTGAAAGTACATAGGAAGCAAAATGATGAAAAAGATAGTTTTTGAGTATTGACTGTAATCTCAATTCCATAAAGAAAGAAGTCTTATTACCACCCCATGTTTTTTTATTCTTATTATTTATTTATTTGACAGAATTAGAGACAGAAAGGTCTTCCTTCTGCTGGTTCATCCCCCAAATGGCCGCTACAGCTGGAGCTGCGCCGATCTGAAGCCAGGAGCCAGGTGCTTCTTCCTGGTCTCCCATGCGGGTGCAGGAGCCCAACCACTTGAGCCATCCTCCACAGCCTTCCCGGGCCACAGCAGAGAGCTGCGACTGGAAGAGGAGCAACCGGGACTAGAACCCGGCGTCCATATGGGATGCTGGCCCCACAGGCGGAGGATTAACCAAGTCAGCCATGGTGCCAGCCATCCATGTTCTGGAAGAGAGAAAAAGAATAGCATCAATGAATTGTGCAAAGTCATACAACTGTTACATAACCAAACTGGGAGTGCTCTAGGTTCCAGGAGAAAGTAGACAATCTAGAAACAGTGGTTAAGTGTGCTTTAGGATGCATTATGTGGTGATGGTTGCATTTCTCATTTCTCATTAGGGAGGAGTGGAGGAAAAGGAGAAGGAGACTACTTAACAATAGGCGTTCGGGCTGCAGCTATGGTGCAGCAGGTTAACGCCCTGGCCTGAAGCGCTGGCATCCCATATGGGCACTGGTTTGAAACCTGGCTGCTCCGCTTTCCATCCAGCTCTCCGCTATGGCCTGGGAAAGCAGGAGACGATGGCCCCAGTCCTTGTAGTTGCAGTCAATTGGGGAGTGATCCATTGGATGGAAGTCAGTCTCTCTCTCTCTCTCTCTCTCTCTGCCTCTCCTCTCTGTGTAACTCTGCCTTTCAAATAAAAAAACAAATAGGCATTGGCTAATTATCTTTTAATACTGCCTTGTGATTGAAAGGACTAAAAGTGAAGATTACAATAGTTTTTTTTTAATATTTATTTATTTACTTGAAAATTGGAGTTACACAGAGAGAGAAGGAGAGGCAGAGGCAGAGAGAGAGAGAGAGAGAGAGAGAGAGAGGTCTTCCATCTGCTGGTTCACTCCCCAATTGGCTGCAATGGCCAGAGCTGCACCCATCTGAAGCCAGGAGCCAGGAGCTTCTTCCGGGTCTCCCACATGGGTGTAAGGGACCAAGGGCTTGGGCCATCTTCTGCTTTTCCAGGCCACAGCAGAGAGTTGGATCAGAAGTGGAGCAGCCGGGACTTGAACCAGCGCCCATATTACAGTAGTTTTAAATCGGGTTTTTTCCTGATTAAACAGTGAAGGGCTGAACTTAAGGATGTAGGCTTCTGAGTCAGATGCTGCACAAAGGCCACTAATGGTTGGAGAACCACTAGAAATGTTTTAATTTTTTTTGAAGGATTTATTTATTTATTTATTTGAAAGAGTTACACAGAGAGGAGAGAGAGAGAGAGAGGTCTTCCATCTGCTGGTTCACTCCCCAACTGGCCGCAACAGCTGGAGCTGCACCTATCCGAGGCCAGGAGCCAGGAGCCTCCTCTGGGTCTCCCACGCGGGTGCAGGGGCCCAAGGACACTGCTTTCCCAGGCCATAGCAGAGAGCTGGATCGGAACTGGAGCAGCCAGGTCTCTAACTGGCACCCATATGGGATGCTGGCACTGAAGGCGGCGGCTTTTACCTGCTATGCCACAGCGCTGGCCCCTAGAAATGTTTTTAATGTCCTTCAGAGGGAGGTTTGGAGGTTTGAATGAAATCATCTTTGCCTCTTACCTGGGGCACGCTGAGTGTTCATCACATTGCAAACAAAGCAAGCCTATTTTATATGAATTAAGATGGTAAAATTTGTTCATGTAAATTTTAAAAAATATTTATTTATTTGAAAGAGTTACACACAGAAGGAGAAGGGGGCGGGGGAGAGAGGTCTTCTATCCACTGGTTCACTCCCCAGTTGGCTGCAAGGGCTGGAGCTGTGCTGATCCGAAGCCAGGAGTCAAGAGATTCTTCTGAATCTCCCACGTAGGTGCAGGGGCCCAAGATTTGGGCCATCTTCTACTGCTTTCCCAGGCCACAGCAGAGAGCTGGATCGGAACCGGAGCAGCCAGGTCTCTAACCGGCACCCATATGGGATGCCAGCATTGTAGGCGGCGGCTTTACCTGTTTGTTAGCCACAGCACTGGCCCCTGTTCATATAAATTTAGTATGACAGGTATTTTGGCATTTTAGGATCCATTGAGTTTTTGTTTATTGGTGCTTATGGGAGGAGAGCGATCAGGAATATTCTCATTGACTCTGGTGCTGTGCGCTAGGGGAAGAGGCTGCGACTGTATCCCCAGCAAGGCCCTGCTGTACAGGGGGAGGCTGTGCACGTGGTCTGTTCACGTCGGGGGCCTGGAGCCTCGGTCCGCGCTGCTTCCCCGGCCCTGTTATTTTCCTTTTCTATTCCTTGGAAACAAATTTTATAATACAAAACTGGACAAGTGGCCAGCGCCGTGGCTCAATAGGCTAATCCTCCGCCTTGTGGCGCCAGCACACCGGGTTCTACTCCCGGTCGGGGCAACGGATTCTGTCCCGGTTGCTCCTCTTCCAGGCCAGCTCTCTGCTGTGGCCTGGGAGTGCAGTGGAGGATGGCCCAAGTACTTGGGCCCTGCACCCCATGGGAGACCAGGAGAAGCACCTGGCTCCTGGCTTCGGATCAGCGCGGTGCGCCGGCCGTGGCGGCCATTGGAGGGTGAACCAACGGCAATGGAAGACCTTTCTCTCTGTCTCTCTCTCTCACTGTTCATTCTGCCTGTCAAAAATAAAGATTAAAAAAAAAAACCGGACAAGTGTAATTTTATAGTAACACCAAGGAAATATGGATGGCACACAGCATTTCATCCCTAGCTGCCAAGAATAGCTGTCTGGCGACTGCGACCATCGGCCGAAGCAGTCTTTGTGGTGTGATCTCTGCCACCTGTCCGGAGCCCACAGTGTGCTAGCAAACGTCGCCCAGGCGCTTGGATCCGTTTCCAGACTGTCACTCCAACACATTTAAGTTTTTGTTTAAGGCTTGCATAAGCCATGAAACCAAAGGTTGTATTTTCCAGTTAGACCTTGCCAGCCATTAAAGACGAACTCAAGCTGTTGGTCTCGGTCTCCAGTGCATCCCCAGAGTTCACAAAACCGCTACGCTGCACCGCAGGCCAGGCCACGGGGGCCTTCCCAACCTTCTGACCCTGCACCTGGGAGAACCAAGGGTCTTTCTGTTGTGCACAGAGACCTGGGCGCCCAGGAAGCCGCGAACGCGGACCTGGGGTCGGGGGCCCCTCTGCCCAGTCCCCCGCCCCCGCCCACAGCGTGCAGCCCCTTTCTAGGAGCTCAGGACGTTGTGGGTCCAGGTTCGAAAAGCGCGCGCCTCTCTGGGGTTCTAAAGACGGGGTGTGGGTCTCGGCGCCCCGCGGAGCCACGACCCAGCCAGACCTCTGCTCCGTGGAGCCACAGGGCGCGCGGCATGGGGTCAGGAACGGGTCGCTGCTTCCTCCCGCCCACCCTCCACGGAGAGGGGTTAGCGGCCCGGGCCAGGGGAGCCCCACTGCTTCCGGTGCCGAGGACGCGCGAGGCCAGCGTCTGCCGCGCCTCCGCCCTGGCGCCGCTGGGCGACCCCAGCTCTCCGGGCCTCGCCGGGATTGGCTGCGGCGCGTATACTTTGTAGCGACCGCGCCCTCTGCTCTGCCCGGCGGGCGCCGTCGCGGCGCCTCCGGCCTCACCGAGGTGCACTCGGAGCACATCCGCGGAGAGGAAGCGGGGAGCGGGCGGCCGGTGCAGGTGAGTTGTGGTGGGGGGGAGGGGTGGTGGGGGGGAGGGGTGGTGGGGGGAGGGGTGGCTGGGGTGGGGGCCCTGCAGCACTGAGCCTGGGGCGGGCGCCTTGGCCTCCGCCAGAGCCTGGCGCGCAGAAAGTAGTGGCTCAGGACCACGAACTGGGTGTCGCGGCCGTCGGTAGACTCAGAGAAGCCATGCGACCCTGTCTGCCCCACGCCGGGGCCGACTCCCCAGTGTGCAGGCCCCATCTGGCTTGAGCCCACCCCTGGCCACCCTCCTGCCCTTCCCTGAGGCGGGAATCCCAGGTCTTGAGAGGCCCCCCCCCCCCCCCGTCCCTGTCCCCATTCCTGGAGCCAAGGTGCCACGAAGGACCGTGGGTCCAGGGGCCGCCAGCCGACTGTGGTTGCGGGGAGCCCGGAGCCGGGACCCGGGAATGCGGCGCCGGGGACCAGGAGGCAGCAGTGCTGCGCGAAGCGCGTCCCTTGGCGGGGGACCCGAGCGGCGACGCAGGGAGGAAGAACCCAGTCCCGGGCCACACCTCGTGCGGGGCTGCGCGCGGGACCGCCTGCAGGCGCGCGGCGAGGCCTTATTGCGCCATGCATAAACCTGCCTTGCGGGAGCTTATTCCGCAGAAACGAGCCCAGTTAAGGCTGTGTCGCCTGAGGAAGCCGAGGCAGGCTGGTTGCGGTTTGCCCTTCTCGGGGGACACTTTGCGGGTGCCGGCTTTGGCTGGGATTCCTGCCGTCTCGGGCAGCGGCTCTGCTGTTAGAAGTGGGCGTGCCGGCGGCTGCGGGTGCACGCAGCACCCAGGGCACCTGCCCCGTGGATCTTGGACAGCAGTGAGAGGATGCAGAACCGCAGTGCCCTCGGGTTGGGAAGGTTCAGAGAGGGAGGTAGCAGGGGCCAGTCGTGGCCCTCACAGTGCAGGCTCTGCTGGGGACCTCCGCACGCCACCTCAGAGTGCCTGGGTTTGCAGTGCATGGCTCTCTGGGAGGCCGGCAGGTGGCGGCTCCAGTGCTCAGGTCGCTGCCACTCACGTGGGAGACCCAGACTGAGTCAGACCCCCCCAGCCCTGGCTGCTGTGGAAGTTTGGGGAGGGAACCAGCTGGCGGGTTTTTGCTTCCTTTTTGTCTTCCTGCCTCTCCAATACAGTAAGTAAACAATAATTTTTTTTTTTTGACAGGCAGAGTGGACAGTGAGAGAGAGACAGAGAGAAAGGTCTTCCTTTGCCGTTGGTTCACCCTCCAGTGGCCGCCGCAGCTGGTGCGCTGCGGCCGGCGCACCATGCTGATCTGAAGGCAGGAGCCAGGAGGCAGGTGCTTTTCCTGGTCTCCCATGGGGTGCAGGGCCCAAGCACCTGGACCATCCTCCACTGCACTCCCTGGCCACAGTAGAGAGCTGGCCTGGAAGAGGGGCAACCGGGACAGAATCCGGCGCCCCGACCGGGACTAGAACCCGGTGTGCCGGCGCCGCTAGGTGGAGGATTAGCCTAGTGAGCCGCGGCGCCGGCCAGTAAACAATAATTTTTAAAAAGTGAGATGAACTGTGGTAGGCAGCACCCAACACTTGGCACAGTCAACCTCAGTCGTGAGTGGGGGCGTGGGGGCAGGGGTTAAAAGGAAACTACAGTGTGTGTGATACTCCAGCCTTTCTCAGGTGAGCCCTTAGTAGTCCTCCGTGGCAAGTGACCACGGCCCAAAGGTCACGGTGTCGCCTGCTTCACAGAGGGGTTGAGGCTGTGTTGGCTGCTCTGTGACTGTTGTCCTTGTTGGCAGAGTGGCCCTGACCTGACGAGGGATGCAGAGCTTCCTGACGCTGCTGAGGGAGCACGGGGGTGCCTGCCCGCCCCCAGCAGAGCTGGTCACCCTTACAGGCAGGCTGTGCCGTGACCTCCAGGATGACCTTGCCCAGGTGCAGCCTTTGGTTGCTGCCATTCTGGACAGCCAACTCCGCCTGCACCTCCTGGACAACGCAGATGTGGCCCTGGTGTGTGCCCGTGTCCTGGCCCAGCAGGAGCAGCAGCAGGCAGCCTGCCGGCTTCTAGAGGTAGGAGTGGGCTGTGGGGTCACAGAGAGGTGTGGGGACTCCTCCTGAGCAACCCTCAGCCTCCCCAACATGACTGAAGTGCCCAGGAGTTAGCAAGGAGCTGCTGGCCCAAGGCTCGTACACCAGCCCCTCTGGCGTGCCTGGGAGAGGTATTTTATAAGCTTGGTCCAAGCCATTCTTACTTGACCAAGTTACACATGGTTTGGCAGTCTGAGTTAAAAGTACCCACTTACCACATCTGTATTTGAGTGGTGATCTTGTGGCAAGCATGGTGCCTACTAGTGAATACAGTGAGTGGAGTAAAACTTGAATCTGGCTTTGGAGAGCTGAAATCCTGATCAGATGGTCAGACAGATCCAGGATCTCAGTCCCCAGCCACGGGTCTACAGTGGAGAACTCTGAAAATGAGAAGTGTCTGTGGCTCATCTGGTGGCAACTTGAACCTCCACTCATTTGGCATCAAAATCTGACCTGCATTGCTAGGAAGCTCTCTATGCTCTTCACCCACCTTGATGACTGCTTGCGTCTTTTGCTGCCTGAATAATGCTGTGTTTGTGGAGGGTGCTGACCCAGACTGCCCTGGGAAGCTGCATGGTCCCTAGTGTGTGCCTGGGTTTCGTTCTGAACTCTGGGAAGTGCTAGATTCCAAAGTGCATCTGGCCCAGGGGTTTGAGTTCACCTTCAGGGTCCCCAGTTCCTTCTGATGGTCCTTATCCGCTGTCCCCGCTCCTCAGAGCTATCATGGAGTCTTCCTGCTGTCTCAGTCTGTTATGTGCTTGGCAGCCAGAGTGGCAGATGAAACCTTGGTGTGCACCTGGGCAGCAGCCCGCAGAGCCTCCCTGCTGTCCACACCCGGGCGGGGACTCACAGAGCCTCCCTGCTGTCCACACCCGGGCGGGGACTCACAGAGCCTCCCTGCTGTCCACACCCGGGCGGGGACTCACAGAGCCTCCCTGCTGTCCACACCCGGGCGGGGACTCACAGAGCCTCCCTGCTGTCCACACCCGGGCGGGGACTCACAGAGCCTGTCTGCTCGCCAGGCCCCTGTCCACCTGCCCCTCCTCAGCTTCCTGTGAAGCAGTCTTGTTGGCTTCCTTGCTAACCCTGAAACTCCAGAGATTTCTCTGTCTCAGGACCTTTGAATGTGTCATTCCCTCTGCAGGAGGCTGGAGCCTTGCTCTGTGCGGTCGAAGCCCTCTTAACCTTTTGGTTTCTGCTTTACATTTCAGCCACCAGCTAGTGCCCCTTTTATTCTCCTGTTCAGCCCCTCAGTCCTTCTCCTCCTCACCAGGGGTCCACCCCTTTTGCTGTGTGGGCAAAGGAAAACCGCTGGACTTCCCCTTACCTTGTACTCCTTACCTGCAGCTCACTGCTGTGTGCATCTGCTGTCTCTCAGGGGGGTTGAAGAACTCAAAAGTTGGGGTGGGGGAGGGGAAGCTGGCCCATTTGAGTCTAGCCTGCCCAACTGCCACAGCCTGTGAGGTGACCTGGATGGCCCAGGGTCCCACTGCAGGTCGTGGTGGGGATGGAACGCTGGCGGTCTGGCTCAGGTGCTGCTGCTTGGCCACAGCGAGCTTTCTAGTCAGCGGATTCCTGTTCTTCCAGCAGACATGCCTTCCCAAGATCTGGTGGGTTTGGGGTGGCAGACACAGGTTCCCACAGAGCCCCGGGGGTGGCCGGGGGTGGCCAGAGCTCAGCAGGCTCTTCTTGACAGGGTTGCCGTGTGCCAGGAGGCAGCCATGAGCTGGTGCGGCTCTGGAACGACATCCACTACAGTCTGGCCATGCGGAAGCTGGGCGTGGCTGCGCTGACCCCGGTGCAGAAGTTCCGCTGCAGGAAGAGGTACCCGCGGGTTCACCTGTGGTGCGTCCAGGGGCTCCCGAGGGATTAGGAGCATGGTCCAGACGCCGAAGGGGCTGAGGTGAAATGGGCAGGGAGCTCAGGGCAGGAAGTCAGCCAAAGCAGTAACAGGCGCAACGCATTGTGCTCATGGACTTAAAAGTCTTTCTTTTTTAAAGGTTAATTTTTCTTATTTGAAAGGCAGAGTTGGGGCTGGCACTGTGGCGCAGCGGGCTAACCCCCTGGCCTGAAGCACTGGCATCCCATATGGGCGCCGGTTCAAGTCCTGGCTGCTCCACTTCCAATTCAGCCCTCTGCTGTGGCCTGGGAAATCAGTAGAAGATGGCTCAAGTCCTTGGGCCCCCTGCACCCACGTGGGAGACCCGGAAGAAGCTCTTGGCTCCTGGCTTTGGATAGGTGCAGCTCCAGCCATTGCAGCCAACTGGGGAGTGCACAGAGCACTGGCACTAGTTCTCTCTTTCTCTGCCTCTCCTGTCTTGTGTAACTCTGACCTTCTCTCTCTCTCTCTCTCTCAAAAAAGGGCAGAGTTACAGAGAGGCAGAGAGAGAAGGAGAGGTCTTCCATACGCTGGTTCTCTCCCCAAATGGCCACAACAGCCGGAGCTGAGCCGATCAGGAGCCAGGAGCTTCCTCTGGGTCTCCCACATGGGTGCGGGGGCCCAAGGACTTGAGCCATCTTCTACTCTTTCCCAGGGCATAGCAAAGAGCTGGATCAGAAGTGGAGCAGCTGGGACTCCAACTGGCGCCCATATGGGATGCCAGCACTGCAGGCAGTGACTTTACCTGCTTTGCCACAGTGCTGGCCCCTTAAAAGTATCTTGGCCTTGCTGTGTGCCTGTCACTGAGCCACTCTCCCTGTGCCACCTCAGTCATGTGGGGTTGGAAACACGTGTCCATATGGAGGGTGGGCATCCTGACCCTCTCCTCCTCCTCCTCCTCACACCCCAAACCTGGGCCTGGCTGGACCAGGGAGCCTGTGGGCAAGGACAGTGAACATGCAGGGGCAGGTGGGACTACTGGACACGTGTGCTTCAGGGCCCGAATCCCTACATCTAGGCTGAGGTGGCACTTTAAAGAGGTATAGGTTTTAGAAGGAGCCATGCAAAGTGCGCATGTGGGCACACGATGGGCAATAAGTATATGTAATTGTCATGGTCACCGTTGTCAGCACCAAATAAATGTTCCTACTAGTGACTGTTAGAATTGCCACTGACACCACTGATGGACCAGAGAACTGAGGCGTGGAAAGGTTAAGTCATTGGCCTAAGATTTCACAGGAGAGAGATGCGAGGCCAGGATCCCAGCCAGACGTGGAGACTTCATCACGCGTGTGGAGACAGGCAAGGGCCGCTCCCTACAAGCCAAGCAGTGAAAGCTGCTGGAGCCCCAGCGAGTGGCCACCGGAGGAAGACGGGGTGGATTCGTTTTGTACCACAGAGATGTAGCGCATGGTGCTCGCTGCCTGGAAAGGGGCTATGAGACAAGTCCTTAGGAGGCCAGAAGCTGGCCAGCTTTGGGGTCTCTGGGGCTGCTGACAGCACAGGTGGTTACCTGGGGAGCCGCATGGATGGTGGGATCCTGCCCAGCTGGTCGGGAGGCAGCTCCTGCATGCTGGGCGCTGGGAAGTGCTGGGATACCTCGGCTTTGCATCCTGGAGCTGGCACTGAGATGTGAGCACGGACGACAGACAAGAAAACAAAGTGGATCCCATCATCTGGGGTGAGAGGCGCTGTGCAGAGAGCATGTTCAGAAGGGGGCTCCCTTGTGTTGGGTCTTTGCCCTGGGGAGGGGGCTGTTGCAGACAGTGTCGGCAGACACACCTGTCCTAGCCTTGGAAGAGGGTTCTGACCCTGGGGGAGGTGGTGGCCTTGTGAAGTGTTTCTGGCACAGGGAGCCTCGAGTTCAAAGGCCTGGGCTCAGGAGGCGTCCATGCCCTGGGGGGAAAGGGGTGTTCCTGACCCCTGGAAAATGTGGAAATGGTCTTAGCCTGTGGCCACAGGAAAAAGTGTGGCTGGATTTTCCCACCCTGCCCTAGAGGGCCCCCAGGAGGCTGGCGGGTGAGCAGCACAGAGCCCTGGGCTGTGTTCTGACAGGCGGCCATCAGGAGGGGGTGGTGACATCTCAGTTACAGCAAACCAGAGGCAGGAAGTTCTTGGGGGATCAGGGTGTGGCCCAGGACCCAAACTGTGGCTCGAGAATGTGTAGACGTGTTCACGTGGAGACAGAGCTGGGGGTCTGCTGCCAGGGAGCACCTACTGCTGGAGGTGCAGGAGAGAACACAGCCGACGCCAGGGCTCTGGGCCTGAACGGGCACCCCCGGGCCAGGGTGCTTTCTCCTTTAAGATGCACCGGGGCTGGGAGGGGGAGGTTTAGAGAGGACTTCCACTTGGGCTGTGTGAGGTGCCAGATGCATTATGGATGCCCACGCAGGCATTTGGAGACAGAGCTTCAGCTGGCAGGTGATCTTTGTTCTTAGTGGGAAAAGCGTGTACACAGCAGTAGGCAGCGTGGTGCGACGGCTGAACACCTCCCTTGTGCAGCTGCGGTGGTGGAGAACCCCTCGTGGGTTGTTATGGTACAGGAAACGCCCTGAGGCCCAGAGAGGGGGGTGTCCCCCCTGGTTCAGGACACACACCTCTAGCTTTGCAGCCTAGAGAAGGGGGTGGTGAGATGAGAGGAAGTCCAGGCGAGAGCAGGGCTGAGGAGTGACCCCTGGGCTTGAGGTGCCGGCTCCGAGCCTTTCCATGGAGTGGAGAGGAGGTGGCCGCAGTGGCGCTAGACCCATCGTGCAAGTGTCGCTGGCGTACGTGGGGTAGCAGCTGCAGGGGAGGCTTGCAGGAGGCTTAGCAGCTCATGAAGTGACTGCCCAGAAGGAGCGGGAGCGTGGAAGCGGAACAAGTTTAGGAGCAGAAGAGGTGGGAGCCTGAGTCAGGCATGGCTGGGCTCCTCCAAAAGAGCTGGCGCCTCCACTCTCCGGGGTCCCTGCGGGTATGGGGTGTGCGGTGGGCCGGCAGGCGGGGGTGGGCACACCTGACAGTCTTGGTGGGGGGGCTGCTGGAGTGGAGAAGGGAGGGGCAGGGGGCGGAGCGACGCAGGGAGCTAGGAGGAGGGCAGAGTGTGCGGCCTCACCCGGACACAGGAAGGGGTGGGGAAAGACTGCGTGGAAATTTCACCCGGGGTGGGGACAGGTCCTGGGAGGTCTGCCGGATGCGTGCGCGGGAGGGGGCCTCCTGGAGGGGACTGCCGGCCGAGCCAGGGCCGGGAGCCCTGGGCAGGGCTGCTCCCTGCTGCCTGTAGGACTGCAGGGCGCACAGAGGTCGCCCCAAGCAGAGGCGGCCCTCGCCCAGGACGGGGCCGCGGGATGCAGACGCCGCGGGCGTCGGGGCCAGGCCCTAAGCGGAGCGCAGATGTGAAGGTCCCGTTTCCCCTGTCCTCTTCCAGGAACCCCCCGCCGCCCTGCCTCTGCCCCGACGGCCTGAAGAGCCGAAACTTCCCCAGCGCGGTCCGCCGGAGGCTCCGGGACTTTGCCTTGGGCGTGAGCAGCCACCCCAGCAAGGCCGAGCGGGTAAGAACCACCTGGCTCCCTCATCGCCCCGGGGAACCATGGCCAGTCGGGCGCCATGTCCACCGAGGGCACTCCAGGGCCCTGTCAGGTGCCCGGCCTGGGCCGGGAGGATGGAGGGGATGGACACGCAGGGTCTGGGGCTGCTCGTGGAGCCTGGGGTGTCTCCCTCCGCGGTCACCCTGCAGCCCTTGGCACGCTCCTACCAAGCCTTCCTGGCTCACTGGCCGGCTCTCCACCTCCCGGGGTTCTGAGCTCCGGCCCTTGGGGTTATAACGTGGTTTCGGGCTGTGCTCAGGGCTCCTGATGCCACAGACCCAGCCCCTCCGGAGTTCAGGGTGTTCCCAGTCTGCCCTTTGGTCTGCTCAGGGCCCCCTGGGGCGCACAGACCCCTGGCCAGGAGTGGGGCTCAGCCTGGGGTGTCTGCCTTGCGCCGCATGCACGCCCAGCACCAATGGAACAGGTACCGTGTCTGCCACCATCGGAGAGGTCGGGCTGGACTCTGAACCCCCTTTCTTGGTGGACGCTGGACGCGAGCTTTTGGAGTTGGACCCACGTGTGGGCAGCGTGGCCCAGGGGTTGGAGACAAAGCTAATTGTGTTTGGGGGCAGGAGAGTTTGGCTTTGGAGACGAGCCTGACTGCAGAGCAGATCTACAACTGGTTTGCTAATTACCGGCGGCGCCAGAGGACCCTTCAGCAGCGCCTGGAGCCAGCCCAGCAGGTGGCCGCAGGCGATCCCAGTGCAAAGGAGAGGCATCTGGACCTTCAGCCCTCTGGGTTCCTGCGCAGGCCTCAGTGGTCAGGTGGGTGAACCCAGGGCCCCAGCGTCCTTGTGACTGGAGACTGATTTCTGACGCGCTCTCCCACTGGGTCCCTTGTCTGGGGCCTGGCCAGTACAGGGTCACTGTGGTTACAGGTACAGCCTCTGCCCACGTTCAGCACTCACCTTGCGGGCACTAAGATCCTGAAGGCGGAGTCAGTCTGTGCTCAGGATTGGCCTGTAGGTGCCCTACTGCAGGTCCAGGCTACTTGTGTGGCCGGGACCTAGGAGTGCTGCTGGAGACAGGGGCATCTGTGCGGCCAGAGCGGCCAGAGGGAAGGGATCAGGCGAGATTCGGGAAATCAGTCAAGCTCCAGGATGTGGAGAAGAGTTCAGAACTGGCCTTGATTCAGACCAAGGACAGAGCAGGAGACGGAACTCTGGGATGCCCCAGTGGCACAGCCTTTCCCGGCCTGCAGGACTGCTCTTACCTGCCGGGAGGGAGGCTGAGACTCGCCGCTCACATCTCCCCTCCCGTCTGGTCTGTTTGCAGCAGTGCATGGGGAGACTGGGCATCAGCAGTGCCCAGAGACCATCCAAAGACCCTGGGAGGCCCTGGCCCTGGTCACGGACATTCCTGGAGATGAGGTGATCTCAAAGCCCCTGGCTGCCAGGTACTGTCACCCCGTGGGCCGTGGGACCATCTCCCCTGTTCAGTCTGCCTCCTCAGCTGAAGACCAGGATGTGGAGTGGGCGTGGCTTTGCTGGGGCTCCAGGTCAGTGGCTGCTGATGTTCTGAAGGAAGGGGAAGCCGCCAGCAAGGAGCCCACATCAGGCACAGAATCGGGGCAGCTCCTGACCCGTCTTGCGCCCCCAAGCAGGAAGCCTGGCCTGAGCCCATGTGTATTTTTAGAAGGGAGGAGGTTGACTGAGAGGGAAAACATGCAGCTCTACCAAACCCAGCTGTCATTGTGGTTTGTAAATGGGTTGTATTTTGTCTGTTCTGCATTGCACTGTGTTAGCATGTTCCGCTGTGCAGGTGCCCTGTGAGCGCTGTCTGCCCTCTCTGTCCTGCTGTGATGAGGCAGGAACCTGGGTTAGTGTTGCAGGAGTTGAGAGATGGAAGGTGAAGACAAGGTGCAGGCTTTTTTGAACCCAAGATAATAAATTGAATGATGGCCACACAGACCATAAGTATAACCAGTTTATTATATTATTTATTATTATAAAGGAAAGCACACTTTTTAATAAGATTTATTCATTTGAAGGAGAGAGAGAGATTAATTTTCCATCCACTGGCTCATTCCCCAAATGACCACAGTGGTGAGAATTGGGCCAGGCCAAAGCCAGGGAAGCAGGAGCTCCATCCAGGGTCCCAAGCACTTGGGCCATCCTCCACTTCCTTTCCAGTGCATCAGCAGGGAGCTGGATTAGAAGTGGAGCAGTCGGGACTGGGACCATTGCTCCAGTCTGGGATGCTAAGAGTTACCGGCCACAGCTTAACCCGCTGCACCACAACACCAGCCCTGAGAAAGTGCACCTCTGAGAGAGTAGATGTAAAATAAAGTAGTGCTGTTGTTGAGGTCAGGGAAGGGGCTTACCAAAGCCTACGTAACACGGTGAGCATTCCTGGGATATTAATGTTTTTTTAAATCGACTTCTGCCTTCCAGGTCTCTGCAGGGTGGTGAGATGCACCAGGAAGAGCCTGGCTGTGATCCTGTCTCCATCCCCACCATCTCCCCTGGCTCTGGTCTCTGCCCTCTGCCTACTGGCAGCAACATGGTGGAGCCCTCTCTGGCTGCCCCCGATTCGTGGCTGATGTCCCTAGCGCTGACGTCCTCCAGGGAAGTTTCGTTCCAGACTGGACAGCTGGTCCCAGGATACAGGCAGGACTTTGGGATGCACCCTACAGATGCTGCTCTGGCTGTGTCCGTCACTGCCCTCAGCGACCCCAGCCCTGCAGGTGGGTCTACTTTGAGCAGACTGTGAGTTCCTACAGCTGGTGCTGCAACTACTGGGGTCTCGTTTGAGGGGATGGAAAGTCAGTGGGTAGAGCCATGATTTTCTGCTGGAATCTGTGGTGCAACCAGAGCAGAGACTTCCTACAGACATCCTAGACTGTTCATTTTCTTTTCTGAAAAAAGTGTGCACAAGACTGAGAAACAATAACGCTTCCAGAGTGGAAATGAACTGATTGCCACTCTGCACTGCCCACTTCAGCCCACCTGCCTTCCCCGGGGGGCACCTGACGCTGCTTAGCCTCCCCTTCCACCCTCAGCCTGTGATACAAGTATTGTTGCTTTAGTCTCTTAGTTACGTTGTAGCTGTCGACACCTGTAAAGAGTATCTGCGCTGCGGCTCACTTGGCTAATCCTCTGCCTGTGGCGCCGGCACACTGGGTTCTAGTCCTGGTTGGGGAGCCAGATTCTATCCCGGTTGCCCCTCTTCCAGTCCAGCTCTCTGCTGTGGCCCGGGAAGGCAGTGGAGGATGGCCCAAGTGCTTGGGCCCTGCACCCCGTGGGAGACCAGGAGGAGGCTCCTGGCTTCGGATCGGCCCAGTGAGCCGGCCGTAGCAGCCATTTGGGGGGTGAACCAATGGAAAAGGAAGACCTTTCTGTCTCTCTGCCTGTCAAAAAGAAAAAAGAAAAAAAAGAATATCTACTTAGATGCCTATTTTTTTGTTGGACGCAACAGAATTTTGCGAGTTCCTACCTTGTGAGTCACTATGCATTTACCTGCATTTCCTAATATTCCATGGGTACTTCTCAGTTTGAAGAGTATTGATTTGAAAGGCAGAGTGAAAGAGAGCTTCCACCCATTGTTTCACTCCCCAGATGGCCACAACAACCCGGTCTGGTAAGGCCAAGAACTAGGAACTCCATCCAAGTCTCCCACAGGAGTGGCGGCCGTATTTCAGGTGCGTCAGTAGGAAGCCGAATCAGCAGCAGGGCAGTCAGAGCTCAGACCGGCCGCTGCTCCAGTGAGGGTGCCAGCAGGAGCCACAGGTTGCGGTTTAACCTACTGAGCCGCAGCACTGGCCCAGCTTCCTGTCTTCTTGAAGTTACTAATTGCCTTCGTGTTTTCCACATCATCTGCTTTTGTGACGGGGATGCTGTGTTTCAAGCATCCCACTTGAAAACTTACTGCTGGAGCCTTCCTTTTTCCTGTCCCTGGTCAGCTGACTTCTCTCCACAGGGCGGGGTTGGAACCGTCATCCCCAGAGCTCCCTGGTTGCTCCAGTACCTCCTAAGCTGCAAGACTGTCTGTTTTTTTTTTTTTTTTTTTTTTTTTTTAAGATTCGTTTATCAGGCCGGCGCCGCGGCTCACTAGGCTAATCCTCCGGCTTGCAGTGCCGGCACACCGGGTTCTAGTCCCGGTCGGGGCGCCGGATTCTGTCCTGGTTGCTCCTCTTCCAGGCCAGCTCTCTGCTGTGGCCCGGGAGTGCAATGGAGGATGGCCCAAGTGCTTGGGCCCTGCACCCCATGGGAGACCAGGATGAGCACCTGGCTTCTGGCTTCGGATCAGCACGGTGCGCTGGCTGCAGCGCGCCGGCTGCGGCGGCCATTGGAGGGTGAACCAACTGCAAAGGAAGACCTTTCTCTCTGTCTCTCTCTCTCTCTCACTGTCCACTCTGCCTGTCAAAAAATAAATAAATAAAAAAAGATTTGTTTATTATCTATTTAAAAGAGTTACAGACAGAGAGAGAGGGAGACAAAGAGATCTTCTGTCTACTGGCTCACTCCCCAAATGTTTACAGTGGCTAGGGCTGGGCTGAGCTGAAGCCTGGAGCTTCATCCAGGTCTCTCACATGGGTGCAGGGGCCCAAGCACTTGGGCTTTCCCAGAGCATTAGCAGGGAGCTGGATTGGAAATGGAGCAGCTATGACTCAACCTTTACCCACTACTCCACAACACCTGTCCCCAAGCTGCAGGTTTTGTTCTTTTTTTTTCTCAGCTCCCTTGTTAACTTTATAAGAATGGTTGCCTTCAGGAGACATTTTCTGAGTCCTTGCTTGTTCTAAAAATGCCTATAATATGCCTTCACAATTTATTAACAATTTGGTTAATAAATAATTGGTTAATAAATAATTCTGAGGTGAAATACTTTGTATTCTCAGAAATTTGAAGGTGTTATGTCAGTTTTTTGCGGCATTCAGTGTTTTCCAATCAGATATTATTCTGCAGGTAACCGATTGTTTCTTTTTTAGAACTCTTACGTTCTTTTTTTCCCTGCTGTTCTGAAACTTCGCACTGATGGCCCCAGGTGTGGGTCTTTGTAGCTCTTCTTGCTGTGTAGCCTTTTAGCTTAAAGAAAAAGGTCAGGGCCAGCACTGTGGTGCAGTGGCCCCAGCCTGCAGCACTGACATCCCATATGGGTGCTGGTTCGTGTCCTGGCTGCTCCACTTCTTATCCCTCTCTCTGCTATGACCTGGGAAAGCAGTGGAAGATGGCCCAAGTCCTTGGGCCCCTGTGCCCTCATGGGAGACCCAGAAAATGCTCCTGGCTCCTGGCTTCGGATCAGCTCAGCTCTGTCCATTGCGGCCATCTGAGGAGTGAACTATCGGATGGAAGACCTCTCTCTCTCTCTCTCTCTCGCTCTCTCTCTCTGACTCTACTGCTCTCTGTAACTCTGTATTTCAAATAAATAAAAAAATACTTTTTTTAAAAAAAGTTCTTCTTAAGCTCTGGACATTTTCAGTAATATTCTCTGCCCCACGCTCCAGTCCCTGTCAGGCGCCGGTTGCTGTGTGACTACACTTGCATCCTGATTGCAGAACTCTGGCTGCTGTGTTGGTGACTTCTCAGTTCTCTGTCTCTTAGAGAAGACGTGACCCATCCCTCCACCATGCCTGAGCTGGAGTGTCCAGATCAGTGCTCAGACTTTTCTCCTCTACCCAGAGTTTCCTTACAGCCTGGCATGGAAGAGCAAATATCAGGCAGCGGGAGCAGGTCTTACTGCAGCTGGTCTGGGCGGCCCCGGGCACACAGCCACCTTGGTGAAGGTGGTTGCTGTGAACAGGAGGGAGGACAAAGGCAGCAGCCTCAGCAGGCCTGGTGTTCTCTGTCTTAAGCTGGGCCACCTCCAAGCCGCCTGATAGACTCACAGCAGAAAGGACTCTGTTTTCTCAGGCCTCTTGTCTCCTACATGGGTGTCTACCCTCAACTGACCAATCCATCATAGCCATCGTGTGTGTGTGTGTGTGTGTGTGTGTTTTAAAAAGATTTATTTATTTGAGAGGCAGAATTACAGAGACACAGGGAGAGAGAGAGAGGTCTTCTTTCTGCTGGTTCACTCCCCAGCAGTTATGATGGAGCCAAAGCCAGGAGCCAGGAGCTCCACCCAAGTCTCCCACGTGGGTGCAGGGGCCCAAGCACTTGGCCATCATCTACTGCTTTCCCAGGTGCGCTGGCAGGGAGCTCGATCAGAAGTGGGGCAGCTGGGGCATAAACCGGTGCTCACGTGGTGTGGTGGCATCGCAGCAGCAGCTTAGCCGCTGTTCCACGACACCAGCCCCTTTCATAGCTGTCTTGAAAAATGAAAGATACTGTGAGGTCGTGTCTGAAACATTTTAAGTAGCGGAGAAGCCAGGAGCAGGGCAAGGTTGTGACAGCCCCACACCTTGGGGAAACCTCACTGAGACCTCAGGAAGGGCTGAGGGCTGAGCGCTTCGTGAACCAGTGTGAGAGGAGACAGTGGACAGGAACCCTGAGCAGACCCCGGTGCTCGGAGATCTGGGACGAGAGAGCAAAATGTGCAGCCAGCAGAGCTCAGCTGTGTTTTGCTCTCCTGAAGGCTAACGAGACTGTTAAGATCATGGCTGTCATGGTCGCTTCCTTGGGGAAGCTGAGGCTGGGGGACAGTGGCCTGACTGCTGCAGCACAGCTGCGTCTTGCTGCCTACTTCAAGGTCGTGGTGGTCCTCCGTGTGGGCTGTACTCCCACTACCAGTGTGGTGTGGAACTTGTTTACTTGCAGGATTTGCTGAGCCATCCAGTGGTCATCTCCAGAGTGTGTACCTGGAGGAGGGCCCAGGCCCAGGCAGTGGCCGGGCAATGCAGGTGGGCGGTTTCCTGGTGACACAGTCCCTGCTGCAGACTCCTGAATTCAGCCTCCCCCAGAGGTAAGCTCCACAGAGTCCCGGGTTGAGACGATGCTTTCGGTGTGTAGAGGGGTAGAGCCTGGCCTGTAGGTGCACTGCCTGAGACTGTGCCAGTGGAGTCCTCTCCTACAGTGCCCCCAGCCCGCGTCTAGCAAAAACGGTCCTTCGGAAAACAGCACTGAGAACATCCGAGCAGGTGTGGACACTCTGAAATGTGCACAGTGCTCTTGGCTCACCCCTTCCCTGAGTCCCAGCAGCCTCCTTCTGTTGTTTCCTTTTCCCTAAGCAAAGACTGTCGGTTTCCAAGCAGGCTCAAGATCCCGATTTCATTTTCTAAATTATCATTTTAAAGGGACCTGGCGACGGGGGGTGGGGAGGAAGAGGGTGGCGTGTTGGACAACCCAGGTGGGAATTTGCTGTTGGTGGCATCAGTGCTGTAGCCTGATGGGAATGCAGAGAGGAAGGTGCCAGGACCAGGACAGGGGCCAGGAGACACAGATGGGAAGAATGGAGGATTGTGACAGGGATCTGGGGTCCTCTGGCGGAGGGAGCACCGCCGCCCACCCCATTCCAGGGGATGTCAGCCACCAGGACAGGTCCTCAGGGGACAGGCTCTCTGTACTCTCAGAGACAAAGGCCAGGTTATTAGCTCACAACAGGCGACCAGTGGACTCACTTTCCTGCTCACGACTGGGAGCTGAGATGTGGCACATGTTGCCACCGCCGCATGTTCCTCTTGGCTCCTGTCTGCTGCATGGCCATTGTGACCCTTCCTCCTGCTCCTCTGACTCCTTGCTCCTTCCTGATCGCCCTTGCTCTCATCTGAGGACCTGCACTCCTCCACTGAGATGTGCTTGGCACCTGTGTAGACGCAACGACGCAGTTTTCCTGGTGTGACCTCCGTGTCCACCACAAAGCCACAGCACTGATGAGGACCTGAACTCTTGCCTTTCCCGTGCTGTCCCCGGACCACAGGTCTGTTTCCTTCAGTGAAGAGTAGGCTTGTTTTGAAGACTTTTGGGTAAATACAAACATACAGACACACAGCTTTCTCGCTTATTTGGGTTTGGCCTGGCTTACTGAATGTAACTACTTTGAGATTTACCCTGTTGTCCGGGGCACCAACAGTCCACCCCTTTGTGCTTCTGAGCCCTGCGCCATGGCACGGGTGAGCCTGTTTCTGGATCGATTTTCCTGCTCTGAACAGACCTGTGCCAGTTACTCTGTGTTGGCTTTTATTTCTCCAGGAGTTCCTGGGTCTGTGATGGCTGGGTCCCGTGCTAGGCGTGTGCTGTCACACGTGGGAGTGCCAGTTCATCCCCTGCTCAGCTCACGTGGTTAGGAACCTGTTGTCCTGCACGGCTGTGCCGGTTGCTTGCCCAGATCACCCCGTAGGCGTGTGTTGCGTATTTAAGAACCTCTGACCGTTGTGCCGGGTGACTGCGTCTGTCCCTTCCTGCCCTTCGTCCTGCTCTCCTCTTGTCTCCTTCACGTCCCAGGCCTACTCCTGGTCACCTGCTCTTGTGCTCCCTGGCTCCGTCTGCAGGAGCCTGTTTGACACCCCTTGTGACCCTCTGAGCGACCCTGTTTGATGGGAATCATGTTCTCTCAACACTCCACAGACAAGAGGGCCAGTGGGAAGAGTGTCAGTTTGTGATCAGTATATCCGACACCTAGGAGAGCTCTTGAAGGGGAGAAAGCACAGCTGGGTAGATTTTCTCACCTGTGCCCTGGAGACAGAACCTTTCCTTACACTGCCTGTTCCAGCCCTCCAGAGCTGCTGCCGGCCTCGTCCACCTCCCTCAACCCTGGGTCTGCCATGGAGCTGAGTCAGCACCTGCCCTCTAGCCAGGTGAGGCCATCTTTCGAGTACCTGGTGTTAGCTTCTGAACTCTGGATCTGCATCTCATGGCTAACAAGAGCTCAGCTAGGGCTGTTGGTGGGAATGACCAGTGGGCAAAGATGACTCGTGGCTGGTAGTGGACCAGGAGCTGGGGTGTGGCATGGCCATGGGGCGGGTTCCCTCTGGAGTTCATCCTGTGGCTCTGCACAGTGTCAGGGTTTCCAGGAGGGAAGCATGTGGTAGAGTCTGGCAGAGGCAGTCTCACTGTGAACTCTGTTGGTTTTCCAGGTGCAGTGGTCCGGTGGCCAGGCTTCCTGCGATGCCTTCTGGGGAGCCAGGATGCTCCTGGAATTCTCAGGAGGCAGCCTGGGCTGAGCTGTCCCTTGGGAGCCAGGCCAGCGCCCCAGGAGGACTCGGTGTGGGTTGTCTGGCTGCTCAAGACCCCCAGCTGCCGAGCTTTGTGTTGGATAGAGTTCTCAGGTCCCCAGAGGTCCCTGAGTGGCTCTGCTGAGAAGCGCTGAGAGCCGCTTAGCCACAGCCATGTTGGGACAGTTTAGTTGGCAACTCCCTGTGTTGTGGAATGCACCTGAGAAATGTTGTGTGTGCAGCCGGCAGAGGCAGATCTGTTCCACTCAGGCAGGGATGGATCAGAGTCAGGTCCCCCTGAGTTTCAGAGAGAGGAGGGTGGTCCACGGCTGCTGCCTGCACAAGGCCACGCTTCCCTGTGCAGGCCACTTTGTGCGGGAGGCCTGGGAGGTGAGCGTGCTGACCTTTCTGCTGGTGGGCTTCTCCTTGAGTGCTGAGACAGACATGGTTGGCATTGCCCTGCTGGGCACAGTAGAGTGGTTTTCCCTTCGGGTTGTATTGTGTTGTGTTTGTTTAACAAATGTTGTGTTCAACCAAATTAAAGTTTAATCTTTTGAACTGCCCGTTTTCACCAAAACTGCATCCTGACAGGCGTGTGTGTAGAGGTGTAGCAATTAACACCAGCCTTTCAGTACCTGGCTGACATTCCATGGTGGGATCCCTTTACCTGATGTCTCGTTATCTGACTGATGGACGTGTGGGTTGCTTCCAGCGTCTCTTACAAGGAGCATTAGGGTGGGTATCTCCTCCCCTGCCCTTTGCTCCTTGTGTGCTTACTGCCTCAGTGAATTCCTGGAAGCTGAATTTCCGAGCGAGTCTTGGGAACCCCCGGTGTGGACTGTGCGTCCTGGGAGCATCTGTTGACTGGGCCTGCGCGCCTCTGCCCGTGTGCCCATATCAGAGGGGAGCTGTGTCTGGGCTGGGCTGAGATTTAGACCCTGGCCTTACTCTCAGAAGGACTCAAGCTGATCTGTGAGAAAGTCGAGGCCCAGAGCCCTCCCTGTGAGTCCGTGTGTGTGAGAATGAGGAGCCACAGCTGGGAGCCCCAAGGCTAGAGGGTCAGGAAGCAGGAACAACTTGACTGAGATTGGAGAAGGCCGTGTGGGCCATGGGAGAAGGAGTGGAGCAGCAAAGACAAGAACAGGAGCCTGGGGTGTTCCGCCCAGAAGCCATCACATTGCTCCCCTGTGACCCAGCGTGACCTGGCCGTCCTCAGGCCTGCAGGAGATTCTGCCGCAGTGGGGGGTGGGGGGCAGCCATTTGCTGCCTGTTGCGGGAGTGCCAGGCCCCCACGAGTCCCATGAGGCTGGGTCCCCTGAGCTGAGCAGCACCAGTGGCTACTCTGCTTTGGAGAATGACAAGAGTTGGGGGGGGGGGGTGTTCTCTGAGCCCATTCTGGCCTGAGTGAGAGCAAGGAGGTGCCTCTCTGGTAGGTGGTCTCAGGCAAGACCCTGGCAGCCCAGCTGCATTAAGACCTCCAGGGCATTTTGCCCCCTCCTCCCGATCCTGCTATGGGTTCTGTCCTCAAGGCTCTTGAGCCCTGACTCCACTGCCTGTGTTGTGTCCGTTTTCGGGACAATGGACTGAAGTCTCAGGCTGGTCCTTGGCTGGGGCCAGACCTCCTAAGAAAGGCACCTGTGCGGTGTGAGACGGCACCCCTGCTCAGCTCACCAAGTCTCTGCCCTCTCTTCTTTCTGGCTTTGTTCCTAGCCTTTCTGAGAGGAGGGTTGTGGGGTCCTCAGCCTGTTCTGCCCACACCTTGGGGACACAAGTGAGACGCCCTGACTGGGTGCAGCCTGGCGCCTTTGTGAGCACCTTTTCCGCTGAGACTACAAAGGGTACCTGGCTGTTCCGAACCGGATGTCTGAGAGGAGGCCGGAGCAGGTTTCTGGGTGGGTGTGACCCTTCTGGGGCTTTCTGGGCTCCAGGAGCAGCGTGATGGTGGCTCAGTGACCAGCTCCAGGAAGGCTGACCCCCATCCCTGTGTCCTCATCCAGGACCCAGGAGGGAGAGAGCTACAGGGGCTTGCGTTTGTTTCCTGTGTTGACCGGCACAGTATCACAGTCTGGGTGGTTCAGAGCAACAGATTGGTCATCTCCCAGCTCTGCGACCCAGCGCCTGGGAGCAAGTTGTTCCCAGAGCTGTACTCCCCCTGCCAGTGCGGCCTCTGGTAGTTCCTCTGCCTGTGAGAGCAGAGCTCCGGTCTTCAGTGTTCTTGTAAGGCCGCCACAGCACACACCAAACCAGAGTTAGAGGAAAGGTTTGTGGGGTGAGGGAAGCCCGATGGGTCGGGGGGAGAGGATGAGAGGGTGAGAGAGAAGAGGAGAGTGTAAGAGAGATCGAGAGCATGTGTGCTGGAACAGGTCCCATTAAACCTTTGCCTGGAGGTGGGCAGGGAAGTAGAGGCAGCGAATCCAATCAGGTGGGGGTGGAGCGGACGCTCATGGTTGGGCCATGGGGCTTAAGCCTACTATGCAGGGTGGTGACAGGGGCAGGGCCTAAGATGGCATCTGGGGCATGGATGGCGCCACAGATAAGACTGCGCCATTTTACTAACAGTTCTCCCTGTGTGTGCTTCTGTGTCCAGAGTCCTCCTTTTTTAAAGACACAGTCCTAGTGGATTAAGGCTGGCCCTAATGACTTCATCTTAACTTGGAGCTCTGCGAAGATACTGTTTCCATATGAAGTTACAATCACAGGTCATGGGGTTAAATTTTTAATAACGGAATCTGGGGGACAGAATTCATCGCAGGACGATGTCCCTGGCTCTGGTAGGCATCTCCATCTCCTCTTTGTGGGGCCTGGTGCTGGTCAGTGGGGGTGAGGCGGCCCCAGAATGCATTTTAGGCATCTAGAGAGAGGGAGGGGTATGGCAGAAGTGAGTGCATGTGTCCCCAGCTCTGACAAAATACAGAGTCTTAGTGTGAATCCTGGAGCTGGCCTCTGGGAAGTCCTGGGTCAGGGTGGGCCCACTTCAAGATTAGACACAGCAGTGTGGCCTGGACACATGTTCATTTGACTCAGAAGCACTTGCTAGTGGCCTCTGGGTACCTGGCTCTGAGCTGGAGCCCGAGTGTGAAGCCCAGGTTGAGAACAGCCAGGCTCAGGAGGCAGCTGATGCCTGCAGCGAGAGAAAACGTGAACACTGGGCTGGGGACGGGGTGGTGGCATTCCTTCAAGGTGGGTCACAGGGCATCTCAACAGAAGCCACCTGCAGTTCTCCCTGGAAGGTGGCTCCTGCGGGGCCTGTGCTGCCTCCAGGCCTGAGCGTTCCTCCCGAGGAGGTGCCGTAGGCCTGCGTGTAAACCTGGGCTTTTGCCCTCATCCTGGAGTAGCCCCTTCATCTGTGCCCATACCGCACATTTGTGCCTCCAGGTGTCTCCTGCCCACTTTGGCCTGTGGGCAGGTCTGAGGGTCAGGGCAGGTCAGGAGGGGTCAGATCCCAGGACCCTGCTGCGTGGGGCCCAGATCCCTTCACGTGTTTGGCCACTGGGAGTAGAACCGCCTGCGGTTACATGCACATCCGTCTGTATAACAGCATCCAGACTCTTAGGAGGGGCCAGTGTTGTGGCACAGTGCCTTTACGCTGTCACTCTCTCTCTCTCTCTCTTTTTTTTTTTTTGACAGGCAGAGTGGACAGTGAGAGAGAGAGAGACAGAGAGAAAGGTCTTCCTTTGCCATTGGTTCACCCTCCAATGGCCGCCGCGGCTGGCACGCTGCAGCCGGCGCACCACGCTGATCCAAAGCCAGGAGCCAGGTGCTTTTCCTGGTCTCCCATGGGGTGCAGGGCCCAAGCACTTGGGCCATCCTCCACTGCACTCCCGGGCCACAGCAGAGAGCTGGCCTGGAAGGGGGCAACCGGGACAGAATCCGGCGCCCCGACCGGGACTAGAACCCCGTGTGCTGGCGCCGCTAGGTGGAGGATTAGCCTGTTGAGCCGCGGCACAGGCCTTAAGCTGTCACTTTCAATGCCAACATCCCACGTGGGTGCTGGTTTGAGTCCCGGCTGCTCCACTTGCAATCCAGCTCCCTGCTATTGTGCCTGGGAAAGCAGTAGAAGACTGCCCAAACACTTGGGTCCCTGCACCCATGTGGGAGATCTGGGTGGATGGAGTTACAGGCTCCTGTTTTCTGACTGGCTCCAGCAGGTGGAAGATATTTCCCTCTCTCTCTCCCCTCTCCCACATTCCTCAACTCTGTCTTTCTAATAAATAACATGAATCTTAAGAAAAAAATTCTTAGGATCATGAGTGTTGGGTCATATGGTGAGATCATGTTCAGCTTTGAAAGAAACTGTCAAACCGTTTTCCAGAGTGGTAAATTATGATGCATTCCATCAGCAAGTGAATGAGCCCTTCTCGTCCCACATCCTTCACAACAATTGATGTTACAGTTCAGAAAATATTTTATCCATTGTATTAATTTGTTTTTAATTTATTGGAAAGGCAGAGAGCGATAGACATCTCCCATCTACTGGTTCACTCCCCAAATGCCAAGCCAGACCAAAGCAGTAGCCTAGATCTTAATCCAGGTATTTAATGTGGGTGGGAGAGACCCATACACTTCAGCCAGCGCTTGCTACTTCCCAGAGTGCATAAACAGGAAGATAGAGTTAAAAGTACCACTGGGACTTGAACCCAGGCATTTCAGTATGGATGGCGACATTCCAAGTGGCATCTCAATTGCTGTGCCAGATGCCTGCCCCAGATTTTAGTCATGTTAGTAGGCATGCAGGGCTCATTGTTTTAATTTACTTTTTACTCATGAAAATTACATTAAGTGTTATTTTGCATCCTCGTTTGCCACCTGTATATCTTCTCTTATGAGGTATCCGAATCTTTACCTGTATGTAAAATTTAAAAGGGAGGCAGAAAGAGACAAGAGTGAGAGAGAGCACCCACAACAGCTGGAAGTGGGCAAGACAGGCTGGGACCAGAAACCCAATCCAAGGCTCCCATGTGAGTGGCAGGGACCGACCTAATTGAATCATCGGCACTTGCTGCCTCCCAGGAAGTTGGAATTGGAAGAAGAGCCAGGACTCTGATACGGAACACAGGTGTCCCAAGCATTGTCTTAACCACCAGGCCGAAAGTTCTTCCCTTTAACCACTTTGTTTTTGTTAAGATTTTATCTATCTATGCATCTATCTGAAAGAATGGCAGAGAGGAGTAAGCTGCTGGGAATTTGGTTGGAAACTTGTCCAGTTTGAAAGAATTTTTATCTAAGTGGTATTGAATCTGCCAGTCCTAAACCAGGAATATCTGCGCTTAGTTTCATCTCATTTGATTTTCAACTGTGTTTCAGGTTGGTATGAAAGCATATTTATGGCCAGCGCCATGGCTCAATAGGCTAATCCTCCGCCTGCGGCGCCGGCACACCAGGTTCTAGTCCTGGTCGGGGCGCCGGATTCTGTCCCGGTTGCCCCTCTTCCAGGCCAGCTCTCTGCTGTGGCCCGGGAGGGCAGTGGAGGATGGCCCAAGTTCTTGGGCCCTGCACCCCATGGGAGACCAGGAGAGGCACCTGGCTCCCGGCTTTGGATCAGCGTGGTGCGCCGGCTGCAGCGTGCCAGCCGCAGCGGCCATTGGAGGGTGAACCAATGGCAAAAGGAAGACCTTTCTCTCTCTCTCTCTCACTGTCCACTCTGCCTGTCCAAAAAAAAAAAAAAAAAAAAGCAAGCATATTTGTACCGTGTTTTAGATTTAACTTACAGACTTCAGTTGTAGACAGTGCAACTGAAAATGGTGCTGTTTTTCAAAGATTTCATGTTCTGTGGTGAGTGTTTGGTGCAGAAGTTAGGACATAACTTGGGATGCTTGCATCGCAAGTCAGAGTGCTTAGGAGTTCCTGGGTTTGCTTCTGACTCCAGCTTCACTGGAAGGCAGCAGTGATGGCTCAAGTGCTTGGTTCCTGCCCCCCATGTGAGAGACCCAGAGTGAATTTCAGCCTCCCAATGTCAGCCTGGCCCAGTCCCAGCTGTTGCAGATGTTTTGGGGAGTGAACGACACGGATGGAAAATTCCTCAGTCTCTCTCTCTTGCTTACATTAAAAAAAGGTCACATTTTTTTCATATTCCAGTTTTCAGATTCTTATTTTTCCTATTCTTACTGATATATAGAAAGTCAACTGACTTCTTCCTATTGGCTATTTACTTTGCTTCTTTTTATTTCCATGCATCTGATTAATGCATGGGTTGGGGGCTCCATTGCTGTTTGGATTTTCAAAATCATGGCAAGGAATAATGCAGACGTACCAGGCCTGCTGTCAGCATGACTCACTCGAGCGTGTGTCGCCTCCAGAGTGA